CAGACCCAGAGGACGAAAGACTCAAACTGCTGCAAGGCTTTACACGCTTGATCAGGCAAATACCCATCAAAAGGCTTACAGTCGCGGAAATATCGCACTTGGAATTTATCGAGGAGGTCGTGGAGGAGATGAGCAGATTAGTGTCAGCTACCTCTTGAGTTGGACTGTCAAACTTTCACGCGCTGTCAAGTCGCGAAGTCACCCAAACCAGCCTAAGGCTTACTGATCACGACAGAAATAGCGTTCCATACAAAAGTACCAATAGCCTCAAAACGCGCAAATTAACAGCACCAACGGTATTAAGCTTACCTCCGCATATTTAACCGCGTTGACTCCCAATTGTGGTTTAGGTTAAGCGGGGATGAATGCGAAAAATAAGCACGCCTGCAGATTCCGTCAGCAAAATACGGAGAAATAGCATTGTCCGGTGAAAGACCGCTAAACCCAGCGAATCAGAGGTCTTGAATCTAGACCATACTTGATTGGGAAAGGGATCTCTGATTGGTCAAGATACTATCATCGTCACGTTGGAAGAGGCGTATGTTGCATATATAAGACGGGAGTTCTCTTGCAGTGGATGAGAATGATTACAGACCAGTTCATTATACAAAGACACTAATATACCGACAATATTCGAATTTCGAAACATTTCTACAATGGAGTTCCCTAACACTTCTCTTATTGGCGGCGCCGCTGACATCCCCGTCAACTCTGCCTCTCCCATCTTCACCTTCACACCAGTCACCCTCCCCTCTCAAGACCGCAGAGTCGATCTCGACCTCAAAGTCACAGCACCAATCAACGGAGATAACCTCCCTATTATTGTCCTCTCTCACGGCCACGGCCCGAGCAACTATCTCTCCTCGCTCAAAGGCTATAGCCCTGTTGCGGATTGGTGGGCTAGCCATGGCTTTGTCGTCATTCAGCCTACGCACTTGAGCTCTCGACAACTAGCCTTCGAGCTAAACGCTGAGAGTATCAGTGAACTATTCATGGAGTCTCGCGCCAAGGATTTAGTTCAGATCGTTGATAGTCTCGACACCATTGAGACTACCGTTCCTCTTCTCAAGGGTCGACTTGACAAGTCCAAGATCGCCGTAGTTGGACATTCTCTCGGCTCTTTGTCCTCTGCTCTCCTCCTCGGCGCCGCCAACACCGATCCTCGCGACGGAAAAACCTTCAAGGTCGCTGATCCCCGCATCAAAGCCGGCGTCCTCTTCGGTGCCATCGGTGCAAGCGACGACCCCTCGGAACCGGGAAAAGCCATGCTTCCCTTCCTCGATGTCAACTTCTCCGATATGACGACTCCATGTCTTGTGTTCTGGGGCGACAGTGATGTCAGTCCACATCTAACCAACCGAGGAGCAGACTGGCATAACGATCCCTATAAGCTCTCGCCAGGACCTAAAGCTTCTTTCGAGGTTAAGGATGGAAAGCATGGTTTCGGTGGTATCAGTGGATGGGACGCTAAGGAGTGTCAGGATGAGGGTATGGAGAGGTTGGCTGCTATGCAGAGGGTTACGTGGGCTTATTTGAGGACTCAGTTGTACGGTGATGATTCGTGGGAGGAGGCGAAGAAGGCTATTGGGCAGCATCCTCAAATTGGAAAGATTGAGGAGAAGTAGCGGATCTAAGAGCTTTTGGCTCCCTAGTTAATGTTAATTACTTGCATAAATACTAGGTTTTATGCCTATACGTTTATTTGCGTTGATACCGGAGAGCCCACTTATGATCTAATTCTCAATACGGAGCTGCTGAACATTCCCGGTGATAGGATTTGCTTATATTCCTAGAATAAATACGAAAGAAAGGCACTAGTATATAAACAGATTATGGCAAACTATTTCTTTCTCGTTCAGTGTTCTCTCAGATCTCTACGAAGGATCCTCATCATATCTAACTGAAGACCTTAGCTTCTCTCAAATCCCTATGCACAGTTTCCTTCGTTCGGGTCAGCCCTAAGATATTTCGTTAGCATATTCAAATCATTGCTGGTAAAATACCAAGACTCACGAGACAGTAAGAGCACCAGTGCCTCCTTCAGTGCCTGGGTACGAGCTTCTTCCTCCATGGTCACATCCATTGATCTCGCGATGGAAATACTCAGTGCACAAGTTCTTCTCAACAGCATGTGCAGGCCCATCGGCAGGGATATCTGAGTCGTAGCGGAGGAAGAAGTCCATCTTCTTATTGCTGCTCAAATTGACACACTTATTGATATACTGACCGGCGGTGGAGAAGGGGCCGTTGATGATCCCATCGCAGTACTCCTGGGCAGTCTGGAGAGCGAGGAATTTCTCTGCACCCCAGGATTCACCTGATCCATGACATTCGCGCTTTTGGAGGGAGCTTGGGAATGCAACGGCAAATGTTGCACCGATGGCAATGAGAAATGATGTAAGCTTCATGGTGGGAGATATGATAATGATGGGTTGTAAAGAAATTTTATTGTTACTAGGTTATGTGTGAATAGAAATATCTGTAAAGACTTCGTTGAAGCTTTTATAGTCACTATGATGGCAATTGCATAATTCAGTTCTGCCTTGTCAATGCAGCCCCCATCGCATGACGTACATGACTATTCCTACTGCTCATCATAAAGCATCGGGATCAAAATCCTTCTATCGTATACGAGAGGATCTGCATCTACAAGCTGAAGCGGGAGATAAGAGTTACCTTCTCAATTAAGCCAAAAATAAGTAAGCGCTATGAGAAACCTAAATTTATCCGGCCTTATTGGCTGCGGAAGCGGGGAGGCACGGCCCGCGAAGGCTTAGCAGCATTCAGCCCCATTAAAGGATCTCATCGACATAGCATAACTACATAGACTAAACAACGTTGCCTGTGGCTTGGTCTCGCAAGAACGGGATTCCGATGCGATTGAACAGAAACATACTGCAGTGATCTGCAGCGTTGACCGGATAACATTGTCCTCGTTGATCGCTTGAGGCTTTGCATCCGCTGGGGGCCAAACTATGTACGCAATTAGAAAAACAGGTTTCTAATGATCATGCTGGTAAATCCTTCATTCAATCGGGCTTTCATTTTCTTGAGACGTCAGTTTATGGGAGTAATGTAGAATTATAGCCGTCTAGAAACTCGTCAGCTTGGCTATAAATGAGAGAACCCCCCATTTGTTAACGGGAACACTACTAAGCTATTCCCACCATAAATCCCACTTGAAGTTCCATTCCTCTCCTGATTCTTCTATCTTCCGTCGCCCTTAACAAGTCGACATCCATCCACCCAATCCAACAATGCACTACCCATCATTCCTCCTCGCCGCTGTCCTGGCCGCCATCCCCAGGGCCAACGGAGAATGCCACCGCTCTGGAGAAACATGGGGCGGAGACAAATTCACTGCCCTAGAAGCAGCTCAGCGCCTATGCACAGACGGCAGCTTGGCCGAGACTGACTATAGATATGGAGAGTTCAAAACCTTCTGCGTCAATCTGAGCACCTTGAAGAAGGTGGACTTCACTGTCCTGGTCGGAAGAAACGTGATTGGGGATGGCTTGCGTATTTCCTCGGCTGATTGCACCGATCGACTCCACAGGGAGATCAATGGCTGCGATCATGGGGGCAGATCTTCGTATGAACAAGGAACAGGCCCTGAAGGAACCAATGTTGTCTGGGATTTCTCGTAAGTTTCTATTTTTCTACCTACTTCTGAGAATCTGATTTACTAATTCCTGAATAGTGCTAATCCCGGCTCGGGCCAGTGTGCTTAATTTCAAGATTTTTTTCCTTATAACTAGTGTTTTGCTTTAGGAGAGCGTATGGTTAAGATGTTGAAGGCGGTAGCTGCTTTCCGTGAATAGGATCACCCGAAAATAGCAATACTTATTCACTCAGCACAAGATCATACCTTCTATATACTATCTATTTAGAGTGAAAAGGCTCAACATGTCATTTATTGCTATGGGTGTCTATATTAGTTAGTAAATATGTCTCTTTGTCCTGGAGCAAGATTATGGATCGAGTCAGAGTGAATGGCTTACCTCTCGTTTTGCAGGGCAAGACCATCATGTGATTGAACACACCAAGTACATTGTTCTGGACCACGCCTGAACATTACTTTCTATCTTGAGCCATACTTTTAAGGTCATAAATGTATCTATAGTTTCTTCCTCCCACGGCATAAATGTCCTGGCGTACGAATGAAACTGTGCAAAAGCAGATGCTTGTCTCCTAAGTGAGTGATTTCGACCGCAACCATTGTGATAGCTAACTTGTGGTTGAGCTCCAGCTCAGGTTGAAGCAGCACTATGGAATTCTTGCATGAGGTGTCTTAAGTTGGTCATGAGTACAGTGCCTTGCATCTTTCAGAGGACTTGGCTGCGCCTCGTGGATCAATAGGGCGCAGCGAATGGTTTTGGGGTCAAAATGGTAGATAAGGTGGGTAAGTCAGCCGAATGATAGTCTGAGAGGCATCTTTATTTCTCCAACTTCATGGAGACGTCAGTAGGGCTTCTATCTGCAAAATGACGCAACATCATTCACATCACCACTATGCATATCACTCTTCAGCGGTTCGCCGGGCCACCATTGCTTGAAATGGAGCAGCGGCCAGCCACTATCAAAATATCAATGCCTCAGTATTGGCTAAGCTTTGTTTCGCTGTCGTCGCTTTTGTGCCGAGGTCTTGATCATTCAAGGGCACTGATGATTTCTACTGAACATAAAATAGCCAACAGAATCGAGCATAGTGCCAGAACAAATAATCTATTCGTTGATGTGCCAGGCTCTGCCAAGGACTGGAGTCTGCCACTGCGAAGCAAAGCTTGCCACTGTCATTGCTCTCCTCGGCCGAACGGTGCCATATGACAGTACATTCCGGCAGCACCTGTTTGACCAGCCATATTTCAAACTTAGACACTTATCCAAACCTGAACCGCAACGGAACCTCGATCCAACCATAAGAAAAGCGTTGGCCGAAACCAGCATCACGATAAGCAACAGCTCCCAAGTAAACACAGCAAACTCTAGACATAACCATCATGGATGACGCCCAGTCTCGTTTTATATCCCTCGAGGAAGGGGGAGCCGAACTGCGACACGTTGTCTCATCTCTCTCACTCCAGATCTCGAACCGAGATGGCGCCCAGGATGCGTCCAAGGCACTCTCTGCAGACACACATACCAACAGCAAGGATGTAAGCACTCCAGTACCTTCAAAGTTATCTCTGTTCTACGGCAGAGGAGATATGCGATCCTACCTCTCAACCCCCGATCCCAGATTTGATGAGGACGCATGGCTCCACGATAAGCCTCCCAGCTGGTTCTGGCAAAGAGGCTTCCTTCTCTGGGCCAGACAGGGTACCGAATGGGCCTTTCCACACGACGTATTCTCATACCTACAGCATGAGAACGCTGGAGAATGCCCCGCTGGAAACAGTTGCGATCATTGGAGAAAGGGAAGCGACCCTTCTCTGGGAACTGTGATTTTGGAAGTCCTTTGTGCTGAGGTTAACACATTCAAGGAGTGTCTTCGTCTCGGATCGACCCAGTGCCCCGACTATGAGAGAGTCCACAGAAAGCCAACCGTTTTCTTCAATAAACTGCGGCCCAAATTCAAGGCTCTGGAAACCCTGGAGGGTATAGAACCCGATCGATTCTCAGTCCTGATGTTTCGAGTCATCAATGGCCTAGTTGGCCAAAACCATTGGATGGATAAGTTTGGGAGGCTGATTGATTTCGACGAGCTTTGGACTGAATAGTCTTAGATGGACTGACGGTTGAACCAAGGAGATAATAAGGTAGGTTAGCTTGGGGTGTATCTGCACCTGGCAAACTAGTGGGACTCAACGACTTTGGTAACAAATCACTCCATCGTGGAATTTCTTTTGATGAAGTTGTTCCCCTTTTGGGTTGACTAGGTGAGTTCTTGGTTTGGTCAGATTGGCTTTTGGGATGATGAGGTTGTTACGTTTGACGTATTTGGGCGCAGGCACCTTTTAGGGGACATTGCAATATTTCCATTCGCAGTACTATATCCCATCAATAAAACATACTTCATACAGTCTCCTGCTTTATCATAAACCCAGAAAAGAAACCGTCGAGCGCATCATAATCATCAAGGTCTCCTACGTACGACACATACTGATCAGGCCGCAAGATGACCACACAGCCCTGATCAACCTTGATGCCAAACGTCTCGTAGAGCTTCCCATGTCCCTCATGATAAGATTCGTCATCAACAAATATTTTGTGGTAGTCCCAACCGTCAACCTCGTGATACGGGCGGAGAACCTCTGGAAAGTCAAAGATCTCGTGGTCCTGACGTTTCGAGGCATGCACCGTGATGACTTCGATCACGGAATCGTATCGAGCTGAAGGCGGTGTGAAGCGCTTGAGGAACGAAGACTCAGCTGATAGCTTGTCGCACAGTGACTTCATTCGTTTGTTCTGGCTCTCCAGATCGATGTCTCCGGGGAAGACCAGGAGTCTCCATGATCCATTGCTTCGTAGAAGCTCTTGCAGGTGCCAAGGTCTAGCATCGGATTGGCTGAGAACCTTGACGCTGGGTATACGCATGCCGAGCTTGATCTCTGGGGCCAAACACTGCCTCTTGGCAGCGATGTCCTTCTGGCCAGCGTCATCAGCAGCAACTTTGGCTACAATGTTGCTTTGACCATAGTCCACGGCTGAGTTTTATTAGCTATGACAATAGAAACTATCAAGCAGACTTACCAATTCCACTGGCGAACAAGTTTCCCTTCTCAAAGGCTTCACGAAACTCATCCATACTGATACCCTCCTCGTCCATGATATCCTTGGCTGGGCGTCCAGAAAAGAGACGTGAAAACTTGTGATCGAAGTCGATAAGAGCTTTAGCAATGCCCTTCCTCTCAGTCTCGTAAGTTTTGAGAATCGATCGGCTAGCAAGGCCCTTGACGACGTTGGCGACTTTCCAGCCAAGGTTGAAAGCTGAGGATGTTAGATCGGCTGAGAGCGATGTCGGGAGCAAGGGACTTACAATCTTGCATGCTGACATTCATACCCTGGCCAGCCTTGGGGCTATGAAGATTATCAGATGTTTGTGTCGCCTTGGAGATTAGGGAACAAACCTATGAGTATGGACAGCATCGCCAGCGAGGAAGACCCGATCGTACGCCGAGAAGTTGGACCCGACGCGTTGTCCGATCTGGTAAGCCGTCCACCAATCCAACTTGCGATACGTCAGTTTGTAAGGAGCGAGAATCTTCTGAGCCGACTCGAGAATGACATCGGGTGTGATCCATGACCGATCAGCTCTTGAGTCCTGATCTCCAATCTTGGCTGTTGTTGTAAGCTGGATATACAGCCTGACCAACTTATTCTCTCTTGGAATCACCATGACACTCCCCGAACTCGCTGAGTGAATCGCACAGCGTTGCCGAATGTCTGGGAAGTCTGTGATGGGCACAATATCAAGAACACCCCAGATGTAATCCGTTGATTCACCCTCAAGCTTGAAGCCGAGCTCCTTTCGGACCCATGAGTGGGCACCGTCCGCCCCAAGCATGTACTTTGCCTTTACTACCTCGACGGTGTTGGCTTTGTCGTTGAGTTCAGCTGCTTTGATCATATCGGCTGTGTCATCTGGCGAAAGGTTGCTGCGGAACAGGCCATCCTGAACAGTAGTACCGTTGGCAGATGTTGACGTCTGCTTTGGCTGAGCTTCTTCTTCACTAAGATGTCGAAGATTTACAGTGATCGGGTATGCATCTGGGTCTTCAACAACTTTGGGGTCAATCTCTAAGCTCGTTGGCATGACACCCCGCTCGACTTCGATTTTTCCCTGGCTGAAGTCGTTGATAGCGTCGAGGAAAAATCTCTCAATACGACCTTGGTGAAGAACAACCTGTTGAAAGCGACTGATGCCTGGAATGGTATCGGCAATCCTTGAGCTTCGACGAAGAACGCCCTTCTCATCAGGGTTCCAAAGGGAGATCTCGAGCATGTGGTTAGATTCAATCCAAGCTCGATGTGCAAAGCCAAATGAGTCGAAGATCTCGAGCGTTCGGCACTGAAGACCGTCTGCTTGACCATTGAAAATCTGCAAATGTGTCAGTTGAGCATGCAGCAAGAGACGAGTGACCTTACCTTTGTTCCTCTCTTGTCGACGATGCGTGTTTTGATGCCACATTTGGCGAGCCATGTCGCCATCATGAGACCGGCAGGTCCGGCTCCAACGATGAGGACATCGACATGGTCTGTCTTTGCACCAACAGCCATGTTTGAGGGTATCTCGTATTTTCTCGTATAGGGTGAAATGTCTGACAGCCAGGTAGTGATATCGTCAACCAGCCAAGATACACTCGCAGGATCTTATACTCATCAGTGGTATCAAGAGGGTCAAGTGATGTCACGGCGAACCGACAAGTTGGAAAGATCCGAGTCGGAAGACGGGTGCTTCCGTACATCGACACATGAAATCGGAACAGTTACGAATAGGCCTCGAGTGACTGGTCAGGCCATATGTACAGAAGCCACATTATGTAACGCTTTGTCGGTAATGATAGGTCGAGCCTCGTGCCGGAATTATCATCTCGAGTTGACGGTAGATTTCCGTGACGACCTTAGCCCAAATTGATTCTAGCCCGCGGGGTAAAGATGGGGGGACACTCGCAAGCAGCGAATAGCATCAACGATCATTGCGAGCCACTTGCTCATAAGCTTATCCGCTTTCAACAGTGGAGAAGTCATCGTTGACTTGTGGGTACCGATCTGCGTCCGGGGGAAAGGAGCAAGGATGTCGGAAGAAGAAGAATCTGGGAGATGGTCAATCAGAGCCTCGTATGCGAGTGCGGGTCTCCAGTTTCGGATGTTGGTTGATCATGCAGTTTGACATTTCCGATTCTCTTCGGATCCAGGGTAGTCGTCCATCCGAGCTCGAAGTTCAATTAGGTTTTCGGATACTTGGTCGAAGAGATATATCAATGACACTCGTAAATATGAAAGATCGAGTAGTTCTTTGCGTGATACTTCCAGCGCTTCACGTTGATGTCTTTGATATTCTTCAAGAAGGCGTAGGTCAATCCCGTTAGGAAGTATATGATTTCCTTTCTTAACGTCTCTCAGTAGATATTCGATCCTCCAACAAAAATTTACAATGCATGAAAACTAGTTCTTTTCTTTCCTCAACGACTCCCACTTTTCCAATCTCGTAAGCCAGTCATTCGCCTCACCAACCAGGTCCTCATCATCTTCATCTGTACTCCCCTCCAACTGCTTCACTAGCGCTTGAACATGTTCTCGCATTGGTATCCAACTCTCCCCAACAGGCACACGGTCATAGACAAAATCAATCAAGAAGTGCTGATATTCCGTATCCTTCTCTTCATTTGCCTTGGCCAGAGCGTCCGCTGCAACAACAGCAGCAGTCTCAGGAAACCGAGCAAGCTGGTCTCGACAAGGCGTAAAGGGCGGGTTATTCGCGTCAACAAGCCAGTCAAACAGCTCAGGCATATAGGGTTTCATCTCGGCAGCAGTGTGAACACGCTCTGTAAGCGTGCGATAGCTGACCATGTCGAATTTGTCCTTCGTGACCCAGACTGCCTTAGAATCTGCGGCGAAGCGCTCAAGAAGACCGGCGTTTTGAATTAGGATAGAAGTCTGAGCGTAATGAGATGAGCGATGAGAGAAGCCTGAGATGTCAAATGCAGCGAGTCCAGCCAAAGCTGGTCGATAGGACTGGAGCATTTCGAAAGAGAGCTTTAAAAGGACAGAGTACAATGCTTTCTGATGCACCCTCAGTGTATCATAATCTTCATCTTCGATAGGAGAAGTGAGGACAGACGAGACGGCTTCAACGGTTGCGGGCTCTGATGCGCGGGACCTGATGATGTCGATATCCTCGCTTCCATCCTCGAATAGCGTCTCTCGATCTGACCAGAGCATTGTCGGCACCTTTTCTGCAAAGGCCTTTTCGTCCAGGGTGGTCAATTGTGTGCGGTTCATGGTGATGAAATGTCGACGTGCCAATGAACTGTCAGTCTTTGGTGGGATGAGAATTGTGAATCGAGGTCTAGCGCGGTTGGCAATTATGAATCGCTTTATAACTTGATGTACTGATCGTGCAAGCATCACCAGAGGGGGGCAAAGAATAATTGAGCAGGTGTCGCCCGCGACAGAAGAAGGGGAATGACTCAGAATAAATACTCCAGGCCCTCATTTTAGGTCAACGGCCGATCCCTGAGCAAAGAGTGATGCATGAATGTTGTTACCAGATCTGGTGTTCGTGCCACTGAGCTGAAAGCTTGGTGGGAACGCTAATGGCCTCTGAGAGCGAGCGACAGTGGACCTTCACTGTCATCATCCCCTGACATCCTTGAAAATGCGCCCGAGCTAGTTGCTTCGCCACCGCCAAAAGGGCTCAGCCTTATCAGTCATAAAAGCTAGGGGTCCATCCAAGTGTGAAAGCTGTGCTCAGCATTCACGGATTGCTGACAGATGACGCTGTTCCTCTTCTTCATGACCATCCGGGTATTACTTGAACAGAAACATGTACGTGGTATTGACATCTGAATTATCTAAAAGGGACGGTCTAAAACAGCTTATATCCTGGCATGATATGGGCATCCCAATTATCCTCAAACTCATACCCCATATGCTCACCTGCTCTCCTCACGAGTCGCTTCGCTGGACAATCACTGACAGTGGTCGACGTCGAAGTAGTCGTTGTTGGAAGAGTAGTCGTGAACGCAGTGATCCCAGCCTCAGAGCAAGCTGCGTAGTATTCCTCAGGAGAGTCGCAGTACGTAGCATAAACAGGGACCTCAGTTGGCTGGATGGTAGTGGCAGTTGGTTCTCCCTCTGCACGGGCTGCAAGAGTGTTCATCGCAGGTCGCCAGGTCGGGAAGGCTGTTGGAATGCGGAACGCAACTTCGCGCTTGAAGACGGTTGAAGTTCTGGAAATGTTAGTGTGTGACTAGGAAGAATTCACGGAAGTCATACTCGGGGTATGGGCTGACTGTCACTGTGTTCAGTCTCGAGCAGTCAGCAAGACGGCTCTCTCGTGGAGGCTGGCCGTTTGAGCCATCAATGCCGACAAGACAGGCATCGGACGAGGCGGTCGTCTCTGCTGCAATTGTTGTCTCGGCGCTGGACGTTTCGACTCCAACGATCTGTCCATTCTGGCATTGTTCCTCTGCATCATCACATTAGTAAAATACTGTACGGAAGCTATGAGTTCTGCGTACCTTTGTAAGCCGTGAGAGTCACAGTTTCACAGCCAACAGGCTCCGACCCAAAGGTGATGTACACCTGTCCGTTAGACTCAGTCTGGCAGAAACCAGCCTCTCCAAACGACGAATCCGTCCATGAAAGACGACCCCCAGTAATTGAGAACGTCGTCGTGACAGAATCAGCTGGCGGTTCGCCCTGGGCAGCAAGTTCCTGATAGCCACTGCCAGCATAATAGATAGGCACTCCGTTCTCCAAAAGCTTCCCCCCGTCGAGGTGAAAGACAGAGGCAAAGGTGCATTCGGTCGGGTTGTTGCTGCCCACGAATGTCGTATCTCGCTTCGATAGCCGACGTCGAGGGTTGACCTGAAGGATAATGGCCTCTCCAGCGGGTACGGATGCGCTCGTGGTAGTGGCAGCTGCCTCTGTCGTGGTCGTGGCTTGCTCAGAAGTGGTTGTAGTCACTGAATCCAAGATGCTTGTTTCAGAAGTACTGGCGGAGAGCGTGTTGGACGAAACGCCATCGGGCTTACAAGGTCCAGCAGCAGCGTGAGCCGCTAGCACAGCGAAAACAAGACTCTTGGCAATCATGTCTGAAATAGTCTATCGATGCAGAATATCTAAAGCAGAAACCACCATAATCGCCAACTTGGGACTTGGGGGATAAATATGGCAATCTGTACATCGTTTTTCATTTTACAAGCTCTTTTAGCGCTGACCGGCCAGCCGTTGTGCCGTATTTAGTCAGGGGTTCTCAGGAAACTATTAATGTTAGGTGCTTTGGCGCTGGAAACTATTGAATGGTCTAGACCTGTATCAAGCAACAAGGTCGGAATTTACTGAGCTTTGTGCCAATCGGACGCTGGAAAGGAGATTTGGCGCCACTAATCGGCGCAAACCGTCCCATTGGTCGGATTCTAAGCGAGTCTACTTGTCACCTAACAAGTTATCGTTCACTGGTTGGCCCGATTTGTTATGCCATAAGTACCCTCTATATTGAGAGCGAATCAGTGAAGGAACTGGCTGTAAGCGACGTCCTTCATCTTTCTTCTCATCAAGAACCGTAACACAATGCCAGCAAAAAAATACATACCAAGAACTGTCAATCTTCTCAACGGTAATTGTCCAAGTGGAGATTTGTAGTGAAGAACAAAGACAAGTTGTAAGTGATTGTTGCTCGAATGAATAGTTGTGAAGCTAAGCGCAGATGCTTATTTAAAAAGTCAGTCTCGGATCAGTATTATGATTTACAGCTTGCTGATGCTACACAATGGCCGGTCATTATCTGCAGAACAATCGATATGATTCACTAAAGACCCATATCCAACGAATTTACTTAAGTCCCTGCAGAATGGTCTCTGCTAATTCTCGGCCTTCTGTCTAAGGCGGCTTGGGAGAGCTCATGCATTATAAGGTCGCACAAAAGTCATTCTCATAACAATCGAGTTCGGCCGTGTCAATCACCCAAAAGTTACCGACCAGTTACCTGTCAAAATGCAGTCCATCGGCCTCAATGAGCTGCTCACGCAACATGGCCAAGCATCTCCATCTCCGCGACATTGATGCCTGAGAAGCTTTGAGACGGTGAAGCTTGGGATACACTATCAATCTTGTTGCCACAGGTGAATGGACTGCTAATGGTGTTGTCAAAGATGCTTGAAGGTCCTTGGATATAAGAATCGGTGATGAGCGCTGCCATGAGATTATACTCCTCGCATTGATCCTTCGTTGTATTGTGATCGACTATCTGAAAAACTCGAATCTCTATGATAGTTAGAAGACACTCATCGACGAATCCCGCACCACTGATTTTGCAGACAAGCAGTGGACCCAAGTATTCAAGCTTGGGGAGGTTCATATCAACGACTCAGCTCGTTACGAAAGCGTCTTGAAATCGATTGCCGACTTCAAAGGCCCTGACTGGACAACCTTCATTGCGTCTGCAAATAGCCCTGTATCACTTAGCGTGCTCGGTACCAAGGAGTGTGGCCTGAACATTTATTACCGGCGTTTGCGAGACGTTCTTGTCGCAACATGCAAGGAACAACGAGCTGCCGGAATGAGGAATATCATGATGCCGAGCTCCCACTGCGTACCGTGTTTACCAATGCGCCGTTCAATCTCATCGAGAAGATTTCGGAGCCAATACTGCCGAGCGGTATTCGGCCGAAAGCTTTCGATACGAAACCTTGTGCTTGCGACTCTCGCGGAGCAAATACGGGAGGTGTCCCATTTCCCCAAAGGCAAAAAGGTCAATTTACGCCAAAAACAACATCCCATTGTCATCGACTCTTTCTCAGCTTCTATGCAAATCTTGATCAGACTCTGTTGGGTGTACAACGTACCAATCACTTTGTGCATACCCCGCCTCGGATATCATGAAACAAGTGATGATTCAACGAATCTCTCAACACACAAGTTCACTTCGGCGCCTGTTCGGACATATGTCGCTACCAAGAAAGCGGGGGGAAGCCTCAGAACGAATAACCCTGAAGACGAGGGCATCCAAGACGCGCCATTTTGGAAGCTCGGCGGCCAAAGTATGTATTGAGCATCTCAATCAGGCCACCTGCTCGGCGCCAACAATGATATCGAGTACATCAAGGCACTGGAGGAGTCAAGCTTTGGTTATCTGAGGACCGTGTTCGGCTTTTCTCACTAAGAGTATCCGCCACAAATAGAAAACTGGGGCGTTGACCTTTTGGCTTTACGAAAGTCAATTTGCGGAGAAATAACCCAACCGCTCGTGATGACTCTGGACAGCGGCTGCGGCTTGAACCCAAATAACAAAGAATATCAACGACCTCCTGTCGTTTTCTGGGGATTGCAATGGAATCAAGGGAGAGGTAGACCTTGATGGAAACTTCATCGCACAACGCGACTCCCCAACAAAAACAGCTATCGCATGAAAAGCAAGACAATACCATTCATATTTAACCATATTAACATCTCAACTCCCAAGATTGAGGAGGTGAAATGGCCTACAATTCTTGATCAACATCAGTCTACAGCTAATCCTATATCTGGCAATCTCGTCGTCGTCGGAAACGAGTTATACAGTATGGATGACCGGGCAGAGGCAGACAGACTCATGCTCGTCAACAACGATAACAAGAAGTAGAGTCCTTGTTGCAACATCATCCTGACCACTTGGTTCTCTTGACAACCAAGCATAAGGCAAAGATTGACCAACACCAAAAGTACGCGAACACGAACCAGAGAGGAACCTCGACTGAGAGTCAACTGGGAGTTGACCCAATCAGACTTTTCGGGAATCGGACAACTTTTGTTGTTATCTGATAGATCGTGACTGACCTCGGCCTTTCTTTTGTTGTTGCTGACAACAGAGTGCCCCGTGACATGCGACTCACGAGCGTGAAGGTTGCAGCCCTGAAATGAAGTGAGGGGTAAAAAGAAACCGCCCTGAAAGTTTCTTCTATGAGTGCTGATAAGAAACTTGTATAAAATACCATAATTGCCTGTTCTTGGAGGCGCGCGAAATCTACTCATATGTTTATAAATATTTCCCAACCCATCAACGAAAGATATCATCTCCACGCATTTATTCACTTTAAGAACTATTAATAGCATCTGTCCTAACTAGTAAGTACTATTAAGTATCTGGATAGTGAAATCTTCTTTGCAACCTAACGTCATTTACAGGAGCAGATTCTCGCCTTCCCTCAAAGTTAAAGATGCGGTTTCTTTCTGCATTTTCTCTCCTTCTTTCTGTTGCTTCTGCAGGGAAAATAAGCATTCTTTTCACTCTAGACGCCGTAAAAAGCATGTCTTCTCTGATTGTACTTACCAAAAGTGGGGGCATTGTTACTGGGAGATGTGGCAGAACTATCAATGCCACAGTGCCTATCGACTTTTCCAACGTTATGATCCATGGTGATAGCGCAAGACTACCATTGCAGGGAAACTACATTAAGGGGGGTCCTTCGCTCGTACCTGTCACACGCTGGAACTTCACAGTTGGGAACGCTACCTACGCAATTCAGCCCGATCCTGTGTTTTCAGGAGGCCCTTCATGCATGACAGATGTTGACTCTGTTAATGACCGCATTTCTATCTACTGCACAGACTTATATTGGGATTATGATGATGTTATCGACGAAACTATTGAATCTGGTTGTATCAGCGACTTACCCCCAGCGAGGAGCGGGCAGAAAGAAGACTATTACCCCAAGAACATCAAGAAGCCCAAAGTAGATCCTCACATATTCCTTCCGATAGGCTTCGGTGGGGTAGGGGCCTGGACTTATTTTACAAGAAGGAGACCCAGCCTTGACGGCGCTGGTTAGTACAGTGACTTGATTACCTGGACTAGACCTGACTTACATTTGTATTAAGGATGGCCTCATCAGAGGTACTTATACAAGCAGGTTTCGGTGGGCTTTCCTCTTCTAGCCTTGTTCTCTGTTCCTGCTATTAATGCTAACTCATGATAGGAAGTTGTACATTGTGGCAAGAACCAAACCTGTACTGTTAGTAGAGATAAGGGGGAGTCCTGGACCTACGGGTTCACTGCGACTGGCATATCCCCATTTGCCAGTCTTGGCTTCACGGTTTCGAAAGCCATCTCGTCGGGGAATACGCATTGTTGCCATGCCCTACCAGGTGAACGAGTCTGCATTTGGCATAAAGTTGCCCACACTGCATGTAGGTCACAGACTTGTGTATACTCTATAAGCAAGATGCTAATTGATGGTACAGACACTGTTCGAATGCCTATAAAAAGGAAATTCTGGCCCTGGGGCAAGTACCTGCATTTTGTCCATGGTGAGCAAGTTAATCTAGTCGCCCCGAATCACTACAATAGCGGCGGCGGGTATGTCTGTAGATACGACAAAGAATGCAGATCGATGGCTTATGAATACTGGGACTGCAACGGTAAGCGAGAGCCAAGTGTTACGTACTGTCCACCTCCTGGTTACCCACCAAAATTGGATTCAAATCCCGATTTTCTACCGCAATCTTACGAGACGAGAGCTGTAGAGAAAGACAGGAAGGAGAAAAAGATAAAGATGGGTAAGAAGGCATGGAAGGACTATGAACGAAAGAGAAAGAATCATGAAAAGGTGTTAAAGAAGCAGTATAAGGAATGGAAGAAAATGGCAAAAGTACAAGACGATATTGAAAATAAGCAGGAAAAAGAGAGGGGGAAACAGAATAAAAAAGATGGAAAAAAGATTGATAAAACTCATTTTTAATAACTCATTTTAATACTTTATTTCATTTATTTTATTTATTATTAAAGTTTAAATGAATAACTTTCCCAGCATAACAACCTCATAACACTAATACTTGTCGTGATACCACTCTCAATAGCTCCATCAACAAAACCTCTCCATCCATCGGCCCAGTCAGCGCTGGCAAAGAATACTCTTCCATGAGGTTTCTGAAGCTCCTTGAGCCAACGACTCATAGCCGGGCCAGGTCCCCAGCAGCTCCATGTTCCTTTTGCAAGATCATCATTCATCCAGTCGTGGGTGAGATACGCTTCAACATCGGCATCAGGTTTGATGTGTTCCTTGAAGCTTGCGGAGATGTCTTCGCTAGCTTGTGGGTCTGCGAGAAGCCCGCCATAGCCAAAACCAATGCAATATGTACCAGTGTTCTTGTTGGTATTACCGTTGTGGTCAGAGAATGCAAAGCACCACGGGGACCGTCCGTAGCCACTTGCCATGGCGAACCAGCCAGGCTCGGTTTGCTTCAACTTGAAGTGGATCTTGGCGCCTTGGTTGATATGGCCCGCCTTGACAGCTTCTTGGCGGAGTGGAGAGAGGGGAGGATTGAACGAGATATCCGACAAGCAGTTCCTGAATAATTGTCAGCCTTCAGTTGTAGCTACAACGAGCATGAGCGGTCCTCACAAAGGGATAGTCGAGATGACATATTTGGCTTCGATACGTCGACAGTTCTTTGTAGTCAACGTAACCCCATTGCCATTCTGGTCGACCTTCTCAACAACAGTATTGAACAATAAGTGTCCCCTATACTCGGACAATATCGACAGTGCTAGCGATGTCATGCCGCCATTTCCAAGCTTACAGAGCCCAGCGCGCTCGAAAACGCCAGCCATGGAATGGCCGCCAAGTGCATACCATCGCAGCACTTCGACAAAGCCACATTGTGAACCTGGCACAGAGCCAAAAGAGCTGATCATGGCATCAAACATGTCCTTCTCTACCTGGGGAATGTTTAACTGGTCGAGGCGATCTTTGGCGGAGAGATGCTCATATTTCTTCCATAGCACAGGTTCGCGCAATGGATCGTGGGGATATGGCATCAAATCGTAACTGGTCAAGCCGTCAATGTCGAAGAAAGCATCGGCTACTCTCTGGACGGTTCGGTTTGTCTCTTTGGTATCGAGCTTGTTTGGTCCAGCAAAGCTTGCAGTATAAGCTGTGTATTTAGCATCCGCTGTTCCCGCTGAGGTCTTGAGGTTGCCTTGAAGATTGTAGCGGTGAATCTCGGAGTAAACGTGCGGCTGGCCCCTAGAGTCACGGCATCAGAACTATGTATCAACCGTTACACAAGGGTCTTACCAATGAACCCATGTTCCTCCCATCTCAAACTCCTCGCCTAAAGCTTTGGCTGTCCATGTTCTTCCGCAAATGCGATCGCGGCCTTCGACAAGAAGAACCTTACCAGTGGTCAAACTGACATTTCGGGCAGCGATCAGTCCAGCAAAACCTGTTCCGATGACAACAACATCATACTTATCCAGGAGTGCCGATTCGGGTGTACCATTGATAACCGAGTCTGTTTCAAGGCCAGTGGTGAGGCCGTTGCTGGTCCAGAGATGCCCTTCTTTAGAAATTGGCATGATGGCTAGATACGATGCTGATGATAAGAGGAATTTGTGAGGACATGCTCAGGTTCATTGATAGAAATATGGCCATCTTAAATGCACTGGAGGTCTCATGGACTGATTTCCTCATCGGGACAAAATGTACGAGGTTGATGATAAGGTGGCCGAAGTGGTCATTCCGACGTTCCGAGGCTTAGTGACCTCGCACTTTATACCCATTTTGGTACTAGACTAAAACTTGTGGCTAGGGAAGGAAAGAAAATATAGGATTTCATTCCTAAATAATAAAAATACTTAGGTAAATTGGTATAATCTAGCCTAAGTTTAGGATAACCTTTACTAAATTTATTCCGATAACCTATACCACCATAAGACCCCTTGCGCTTATAATCTCATCGGTCGTGCACTTCGCGTGAAGTATCAGACTTAGAGTTGACATGCTCGCTGGGACGTGCGAGGACATCGTTGAACCGATCCTTTTACTCGTTTAGATTGATTGGTCTCTCACGATGTTGTCATGCTCGCTAGGACGTGCGAGGACATCATTGAACCGGTCCTTCCACTCGTTGAGGTCATTGTGGTCGATTGGACCATTGTTGTGGGCGTTTAAACGTCTCTCACCCGTGGTCATGCTTGCTAGGATTGGCGAGGATATTATGAAATCGGTCTTTCCACTCGTTAAGGTCGTTAAGGTCGTTGTGGTTGACTGGAGCGTTGTTGTGAGCGTTTGTTTCTTGCCACGCGGTTATGCTCGCTGGGGCGGGCGAGGATTTGTGAAAACGGTCCTTCCACTCATTGAGATCGTTATGGTCGATGGGGCCGTTGTTGTGGGCGTTTGTTTCTTGCCATGTTGTGGTCGATTGGACCGTTGTTGTGAGTGTTTGTCTGGTTATGTTCGCTGGGACGGGCAAGGATATTGTTGAAGCGGCGCTTCCACTCGTTCAGATCGTGAAGAAATAGGAGGAGGTGGTACTGTCGGCGATCCGTCGCCGATGACTTCGTGTAAAAATAAGAGGAGGTAGTGCCGTGGGAGGTGGTACGATAGCGCCGCCCATCTTGATGATTGCGAGTCTGGCTGAGTGAATGAAAATGATGATGGAGTTATTCAAGTCAACATAACCCCGCGCACCTATACGAATTTATCGGCAACCACCTCCTGCTACTTCTGTACGACAGGGAACGCCGACGATGTAATGACATCATCATTCATACCACCATCTCCTAGAGGAGTAAGAAAACGGCAGGCCAGGCCCCGACATGGGATATCAGAATAAACTCAACAAAAGCCGGCTCTTTTACATGCATGCCACCCAGCCCAAGGTCACGCAAGGAACGCAGCAGGTGATGGCGCAAAGGCTGACGCGGCTAGAACAACTAAAGAAGCTGTTCTGCCAAGGCTAAAGGGACTCGCGCAACTTTGACTGGGTTGAATCTCGAGAGGGCAATGGTCCTTGACCATAACGATCTGAACGAGTGGAAGGACCCCTTAGCGAAGTGCACGACCAACCAGATTGTTGAGGCACAGGATCTTATAGTGGTATAGGATATTAGAATAAACTTAGTAAAAGTTATCCTAAACTTAGGCTAGATTATATTAAGCTACCTAAGTAATATCAAAATAAGTTTAGCCTGGTCATCCAAACATCGTTTCCAATTTCTTCTCCGACATGATATTTATCCAGTGAAAACTCGATATCGCAGAGTTCGCGTTCTGGATTGCCGGCAACATGTCCATACGCGCCCAAACCTCCTCCAGTATAACCATAGCATTTCCAATCGGCCCCAAACGGACAGCCGCATACATCTTGTGAATCCGCTGTCGAACAAATGTTCGCAACCGAAGTAATTCCAATCTCTTTAGTTCTTCATCCTCTCCCATTGGTGAGACAGGCCCCAGGACACTTCCAGCGATCAGTAGTGACAGAAGCTGTATCGATATTGTCCCTGAGTCATCTGGAATCTTTTCCAAGATTTCTAATATGCTGAACGCCAGTCCCATAATTAGGTGTGTCTTTTCATCATCACGGTCCAAATCAATAGCACCGTCTGGTCTCCCCCCTGTCCTTGTTATTTCTGGGAATGCAGTATAGAGCTCCAGCAGGGCTGCCATGCGATAACAGCTTGAGATAGCCAGCAAGTGATCAGGCGTTGTACATGGGTCTCCAATGTCTTCAATAAGGGCAAGAGAGGGCAGCCGATACCTCAAGATCTCACGTTCAAGACTATTTGCTTTGGCAAGTAGTTCACCGTACAAGGCCCTTCGATGGATCTCTCCAGATTCGAAAACCCACAAGCTCTTCAGAGCCTGGTTATTCCGCACCAGCGTTAGCGTCTGTGCAAGAAACACAAAAATGGGCGTTGCAACGCCAGTCCATGGACAAGGCTGGATGAGGGCTGGGGGATGGGGATCACAAAACATGGTGAGATGTGATAAGCCTTCGTATTGCTGATCGAAGAGCGCTGAGCTCATAGCTTCCCAATATACCATGGATGAGACCACAAATGTTTGTGTTCTCGTCATTTTTCTTCTTTTATCGATATCTGCCAGGTTATTTAATGATATCCATGACCTGAATAATTGACGTGACCCATGGAGATGTGGCAGACCAGTTGCAGAGACATCATGCCAAGCCTAACGAATTAACACGTCAGCTCTGATGAGATTCAAAGAGCGGATATACCTACCGCAGTCATGCCCAAGAATATAATGCTCAAGAGCAAGTCATCCGAAACATTTAGAATTTTCTCCCGAGATACCGAGACCGTAGGTCGGTTGTCATCCACCTCGCATTCCTTTCTCGTAGGAAGCTCAGACAATGTGTGTGAAAGGTGTGACATTGCCTCAGTCTGAAACTCCAGTGGAATACTGCTGCTGCTTTTGTCGCCCTGGTACAAATGAGCTGCTGACATGCTCAACACGCAACCAAAGAGTAGGGGGGAGTCGGCCATCATTCTGGAAACTTCTGATCGGAAAGGGTTATTCGCCGAGTCGAAGGATGAGTTGAAATGGCAAACCGTGGTAAAGTAGTGATCCAGGATGAGTGATGCTTGTAGAGTTGGGGTGTAGGAGGTCAGGCAAAGAGAGTCATCATGTAAGGCATTGAGCGCGAGGGGAAATTCTTCATCGGCTTGGACGTCTTCGCACAACGTCAATAGTTGCCCTGGATTTAGCGTCGAGGGTGGTTGCACTTCCAAAATGTCCTCTAAGTGCTCCCTGGCATCAGATAAACTCGAACTAGAACCTTGCATGAGAGGACCAGGAGCTTGTACTTCGTCGTCATTATTGTTCTGAGTCTCGACGCTTCCATGGTTTGATTTCGGCTGCATTAAGTTTGATAAATTTCTGGCACCTGAGTCGAAACGAGGAAAAGAGTTACTTGCAGTCAGTGAAGAGTGAACCATGTGCCTCTCATACTTCACTGACCACTTCACAGGCTTATGGTAGCCGGGACATTCGACACCGATTTTGGCGCACCTCTTACATCCTGGCAGCTGTTCATCACATTTCACCTTCTTTTCTCAAAAGTTAGTCTTATAATGGACTTCTCGTTACGACAAGACTGCGACTCACGCGTCTCTTACAGGTAGAACAGCCAGCTAGACACGCCTGTTAGCCAAGTCTCTCATATTGCCGAGGGATGTACGGACTCCGTGCTTTCACCTTCTTAGTGCGGCATCTTTTTGACTCGTCGGTCATGGTCACGGCCAGAGCCTTGCTGCATTTAGATGAAAATTACATCTCGGAAACGTTGTCTTAGAAGAACCCCTTTCAACGCCTAAACGAGCTCGCTACCCCGCATTCGATTCCAGGGAAGAGGTTCCACCGAGATAAAGCTTCCAGGACATGCTTGATTTGGCAAAGTTAACCGTAGCGCAAAGACAGTGATTGGATGCCGGACTTGTTATCGGAGATCTGCCCGAGCGACTCCACTTTCTTATCGCTCACCGAGACAAGTAGCTGAAATCCACCCAGAATGAACTCGGCCTTGGCTTAATCCCCTCCCAGGCTGTATTTATTTTATATTTACCTAGACTATATGGAACCATTCTTATTCAGTAAGACTCAGATTAATTGAAATTTGAATCTCGAAGTGATGGAAAGCCACACTATTGTCGAGTACAGTAAAGTAGAGCTTAAACAGAGCGTAATGCTGTCCTACCCTAAACAGTTATGATTTTTGAGTGTATCCTATATAATTGTATCTATTTTAAATCTTCTTAATTTATAAGTACTAAGAACTGCAAGTCTCTTCCTTAATAAAATGAGTTTGTTTTTATTCTGTTAAGAGCCTCTAAGGCTCAAACTTTTTAGGTGCAAATAAAAGCAACAGAACTTCAAAAGTTGCCGGTTTGATAACAGATAACAGATAGGGCTTATCTCGATGAAGATAAGATAAGAAGACCCTTTCCGCGAGGCAGCGGAAGCAAAGGACAGTCCGACAGCCCAACAAGGTTAGAGACACGGAATCCGTTCCGCCCTGGATCAACTTGCATCCACTTTGAGAAGTGTAAATAAGAGTGTTTAATACAGTGATCCTATTTAGCAAAAAACTGCCAGGCTCTTACAGCTCTATCTTATTTTTACAGCCTTCATCACAATACATATGTCTGGAAGGCCATTGAAGAAGTGAACAAAACCGTGCAGCAGCTAGCATGTTTCATTGCATGAGGGACATGAGAGCTGAGATAAATATCTCAGCCCGGCATCTCGGCACGCACGTTGCGGGCCTGTAATATAAACAGGGCGACACGACAGGCTCGTATTCCGAATGCGGCCAAAGCTAGGCGGAATCACAGCTGTCTCTCACAAGAGTCCCAGTGCTTGACTGGCCTCATAAGGCGGAATACGGATATCTCGGGATATGCCAACAGTCCCCTGCATAGAGCTGAAAGACAACTGCGAAAGTACATAACGAAGCTAAGAGCCCCATCAAACAAACAATGTCTTGGCACCCTTTGCGCAGTAACTTTGTTCTAGCTAGCAACGGCGGAGTACCATGAAGCTATATGGTCTGTTTCTTGTCGGCTTGGCTGGTTTAGCCGTTGCAGCTGATGTCACACTCACAAGCTCAGGCTGTGCCGACGCATCAGGCTTCGAAAAGTGCCAGGCCTCTGCGAACAAACATACAGGCAGCTGTATTGCCCAAGCTCACCACGACAACAGCCAGGTAGAACTTCTCGCATGCGGATGCCAGGACTACGTCGACAACTTCAACTGCTACGCGGCTTTCTGCTGGAACAGGGTCTGGGAATGCGAGTACCAGGAGTACATGGTTTCGTATTTTATGAACTGCAATACTGCCAAGCAACCAGTTCCCTACTTCCCCGCTCCCAAGAATGCGCCGGGCGCTTGCTCTTGTAACGTCGGGCAAGTCTATCTCAACATCCAGGATGCCATTCAGCAGACGGCGACGTGTTCGAACGGTGCCGATTCGGGCGATGCGGGAAACAATCTGCAGCAAATTGAGGGCTGCAACTGCTGTGAGATCAGCGGGGCTTTATCAAGGTATAATAGACTTCTTTTGAGTCATTCAGTCATTGATACTAACATGTAACAGTATTGTCGAGATCTGCCCCAATACAGACCCCAACCTCATCGGCCTGAAACAAATCCCTACCCTCGAGTCCGAGCTAAACGTCGACTACAAGTCCTGCGGGTCATATATGGAGACATACGATTGTTCGTCCCAGCTCTCCTACTCTCTGGAGGGCGTTAGCACGTACTACAAGCCTGACGACCCCCTCAAGACCGGTACCGCCACATTGAGCAACAACCCAGGCTCTGTCACGGCACCGGCCAGCGGAATGGTGTTTTCGTATACCAACGGAGGCGATGGAACCGTCTATAGCATCACTGCTGCGGGTGTCGGCAAGGACAGTTCTGATAGTAAGGGCAGCTCTGATAGCGATGGCAGTTCAGGTGCAAGCGGTGATTCATCGAGCACCACTGGCACTGCGACTGCGGATAGTAGTAAATCTACTGAGAGCTCGAAAAAGAATGGAGCTGAAAGGTTGGCTACTGGAAGCATCTTAGTGATTGGAGTGACAATGGCCATGGCCTTGGTGTCGATTTACTAACTTTGTACCTAATGGGGTAGACGCATCGCTCCAACATACAACTAGTAAGATAGCGATGAGCCATGACTACGCAGGAGGACTACACCCATGATTATCGCTGGCAAAGAAGAGTAATGGCAGAGGATCTTGAGCGATTGGTCATGTTGGAGTAACATAATAGCATAGATTATCATTACATAAGAAATAAGATGGTCGGGCTTCAGCATTACCGACATATGTCCTTATGAAACCCCCAACAATACCTTACAAAGAAAAGTTCAAAGTCTGAAACGTGTTGCAAACCTCCTCCAAGAAATACTGCACCCTCTCCTCCTCAAACAAATGCGCCCTCGCAATGATAGTAACCTTCAAGCTCATCCCATCAGGCTCGACCTCTCCCGCTATCGCCAAATCATACAGTGGCTCATCCTTCCTGAGCTCAACATGCTTCGACAAGACTCCCATCTCGACACGTTGCTGTTCCACTTCACTCTCGGGATGATACTCAAAGTTATGATACGTAACACAGCATGCGAAATTTGTAGTGGAGTCTGGCCAGTCTGTGCAGTTGCGCTTGATCTCCTCGAAGCCTAGGGTCTCGAATGGTAAGCTTCGCAGGTATTGATCTTGCATGTCGCGAAGCATCTGGTGATGATTCTCGTCTGTGCCAATGTGTGCGCGAACGGGGACGGCATTCGTGCAAGGGCCGATGATGTCCTGGCAACTGACCGGCAGCCCCTGACGACCTGAGACAATGCGACCGAAGACAACATCGCTGGACCTAGATTCCTTTGACAGCACCAAAGCACAAGCAGAATTGAAGACCGTCGCCTGCGTGGCGATGCTGCTGCGGATCGCTTGACTTGGAACGCTGACGACCTTTGACAAGTGCAAGGCCTTGGAAGGTGACATCTCCTGACGATAGGCTCCGTGGCCCGCATCGCTCAAGATAGTCATGGGAGAGTCTCCAATCACGTCACGCCAGAACTCAAAACCCTTCTCTTGACTATTGGCAGTGTACTCCATATACCGCTTGAACTGCGTTGGTGGAAGAAGCGACATGCCGTTGAAGAGGATGTGCAGATTACGCACAATAGGCTCCAAACTCAAACCGTCGTACAAGGCGTGCGACAGTCGCAGTAGTACCCGTACTGAAGATGACTGCTTGAGAATAGCGATGCGTATCAACGACTCTCCAAGACGAATGGGATCCTGTGCATGCTCATTCAGGAAATCGTTGGTCGCCGTGTTGACGTTTTGATTGGTGACAATCGTCTCAATTGGCACGTCGAGATGCTTCAGAACCACTTGGTATAACTGTTCTGAAGCTAGCACAAAGACTGTTCTGAACATATCAATGTGTTGAACTAGGGAATGGCAGGCATTAACGAGAGTAGGAGGGTCTGAGTCAACTGGGAAGTCAATGTAGAAGGGTGTGAGAGGTCGTGGGGACCCAGTCCCGGGACTGAAGAGGAATGACTTTTGCATCTGCGTGCTTTGGTACATGTCCTGAACCGACTCCAATGAGACGTTGAGCTGTGAGCAAATCTCTCGCTGAATAAAGTCTTGCGGATTCTCTAGTGAGAGAAGCTCGAACGGGGTATAGTCGTCAACCTGTACCTCTTCATTGTCAGTCCCCGAATCAGTCGACTCAAGCTTCTTGGAAAGTTGGAACAAAACGGGGTAGTCAAAGATATCCTTGACCACTATCGTAGTATCCAGTCGACGACCAAGCCTCATGGCCAGCTTTGTCGCCATCATCGAGTGTCCACCAAGATCAAAGAAGTTATCCGTAATACCAACTTCAATTCCAAGAAGCTTGGAAGCCTCATCACACAAGGTGATCTCAGTCTCAGTCCGAGGAGCGACACGGGCTGACCAGCCTTGCTTGTCTTGACCATTCGTCAAGGTGGTGCGTGAAGCAAGTCCTTCACGAATAACTACTGCAAGATTGGCAAAGACGGAGTTGTCAAAGACGTCTTTGACAGTGACGCGAACATTGAAGCGCTGCTCAACCCGCGAGATGAGCTTCGTGGCCAAGAGGGAATGTCCGCCGAGTTTGAAGAAGTCATCTGAGATGTCAACCTTCATCCCAAATGTCGCAGTCGCCTCATCGCAAAGTATCGCCTCGATGTCACTGATAGGCACCGCTTGTGCAGGCAGTGCAGTCTGCTGCTTGGGTATAATTCGAGCCTGACGTGCAAGCTCCTTCCTGTCGACCTTGCCATTGGGATTGAGAGGCATGTGATCCAAGACCACGATGCTAGAGGGAATCATGTACGATGGAAGCAGGGACTGTAGGCGCTCACGGACTTGAAGCGCTGCACGGCGTCTCTGAAGGCCCTGTAGCGGACGATTGGCAAGGGTCGCTGAGCTCCGGAGGTGATTGTCGGTTGGAAACTTGATGAGCGTGCGTCGAGTGTCTGAAGGCGATGGGAGGTGGTGGAAGACAGCGTCTAGGGCACCACTCTGGGACCACTGACGGGCTGCACTGACTTCCAAGCGAAACCCAGCCTCTTCGGCGAGTCGGTGAAGGTCAGGAACAGAAAGAGACGCACGGGTCTCAGTATCCGAGCGAACTGCTGAGATCCAAGCCGCACCATCAAGCTTGGACTCTTCTTCAGCCTCGAGGGACTCAACGATGAGTCGTTCGAAGACGGTCTTGGCGAAGGGAATGTTGCTGATGGCCACGGTAGATGGCCCCTTCGAACGTCGCAGGAACTGTAAGAGAGACGTGCGATCCATGCGTGACGCGCCAAAGTCGACCCAAGTACTCTTCTCAATTGTATGCACAGGTACTGAGTCGCTATCGCGTATGTGCACCACAGCCGCATAACGATATGCACTAAGCTCATTGGTAGCATGCATGTTCTTCGGCAGAATCTCAACATGATGAACCAGTCCGGGGAAGCGATCTTGAAGTGCTGTAAAGAACACCGGCTCGACAAGCAATTCCTCCTCACGCTCCTCCAACTCAGCCATCTTCTGCCTAACAGAGTCCTTCGTCGCGTGGTCACCAAGCGTCCTGATAGCCCTGGCAACAAGGAAGTGCTTGTTGGTAGCGTTCGTTCGCATGTCGCCAAAGAACAGCCGCTTGACACCGGGGAGATGGACCAGGGTATCTGCCACTTGGGCCAGGTACTCTGGTGAAGGGAAATACTGCGCGACTGAGTTGATCACCACGAGGTCTGGGTGAAGATCAGTCAGTTGGCTGACGTCCTGGGCTGTACCGACGTGGACTTCGGCCTTGCTCGCGAGGGACGGGACGGACTTGATGACGCTGTTGGTAAATGCGGCGGCTGACTTGGATGGCTCAAGACCTCTGTAGCTCTGTAGTCCGTCGCCGAGGTTGAACAAGATCATGCCGCTACCTGTTCCAACCTCGAGGACATGGCCTGGAGCCTGACCATCACGGAGCGTCTTGATAGTGTCATCAAGCCACTCCTGCATCTCCACCTTGTCAATCTCACTCCCGTCATACATAGACGTCCAGCCCTTGAAGTCCTTTCCAATGGTAGAAGGATCGATGTCCCCAATATCGGCATACATCTCAGTCTCAAAATGATCCTGCCATCCCTCAACCTGGTTATCATTCGCGTCACCCTCCAAAGAATGATCGTGATCAATGACAACGAAGCCAACCAAGTCTGCTTTCTCACCATCATCCTTCTGCACGACGACAGCAGCATCGCGGACAGAGCCGTGGCTGAGCATGGCAGCTTCTACCTCCGCTGACTCGATACGGTTGCCACGGATCTTAAACTGCGTGTCCATGCGACCGAAGAACTCAATGAGGCCGTAGCCTACTCTGTACCGCACGCGATCGCCAGTGCGATAGGCTCTCACTCGCTGACCATCGACTTCAATGTGGATGAAGCGGTTCTCGTTGAGTGCTGGGTCGAAATATCCTCGTGCAAGACCATCGCCGGTGACAACAAGTTCTCCCATGACACCAACACCGACAAGCTGCTGGTTCAAGTCGGTGACGTAAGCTCCAGAGTTGTTGACAGCTCGCCCGATAGGAACACCATTGATGAACGAGTCACCAACAGCGATAGGGTACCTCGTGCTCATGATACCATTCTCTGTTGGTCCATACCCATTATAGCATTGGCCGCGTACAAGACTCTGCGCCTCAATCGCATCTTGTCCATCGAAGCGATCTCCAGCAGCCATGAGAAAGTCGAGTCCCCTCAACGCATCGCGCGCATCAGTGAGATACAGCTTCAGCAGCGCAGGCGCCATGCAAGCAGCGTTGATCTTTTCCTTGAGGAACACGTCTTGAAGCGCTTTGACGTCTAGAGTAGTCATGTAGTCAATGCAGACTAAAGTTCCGCCGTTGAGGAGAGTGAAGAAGATCTCGTAGGTGGCGCCGTCAAAGGCAATGTTGAACATGTGGGCTGAGCGAGGTTGGACTGGGAAGTCGGGGATGATGTTGCTTGTCATGAGACGGACGATGACGCGGTGCTCTACCATGACACCCTTAGGTCGACCAGTTGAGCCGGAGGTGAAGAGGACATACGCGAGGCTTGTTGCGGTAGGGTTTGAATTGTCGACATGAGCATGTCCATTGAGATTGTTTGTGTCGCAACACTCTATGGCATCAACGATACGCACAAACTCCAAGCCCGGTATGCTAAGCTCCGGAACAGGGACATCTGAGCCCAGAAGCACTATCGTCTGTCCGGGGATAGAAGAAAGAATGTCTTTCAGGCGAGCAGAGGGAGTCTTGACGTCAAATGGGAGGTAAGCCAAGTTCGCCTTGAGAATACCAATGATGGCAACAATCGCTTCGCATGAGCGCGGTGCTAACACTCCGACCAAAGTCTCAGCTGGCATGCCCTGTCGACGGAGCCTTGCCGCAAGCCGATCAGACTGACGGTCTAAGTCCGTATAGGTGAGACGAGACGATGAGTCCACGACGGCCAGAGAGTCTGGGTAAGCAGCGACTTGTGTGCGGAAGATGTCCACTAAGCTTGCGTCTCTTGGATACTCAACCTTCTTGATTCTGAGTAAATCCAAGCGACGCAATTCCTCAATCCCATCCGTAAGAGGAAGCACCGAGATCGGGACATTGGGTTTCTCAAGACCATTCCGGAGAATCTGGAAGAACACGCTCACCACATTCTCAACAGTCTCAGGCCTAAACAGATCCGTCGCAAAGTTACAACTTCCCTTGAGACCATCAGCCTCTTGGAAAAGGTGGAACTCGATATCGAACCGAGTATACGCCTTGCTAGCAACAACCTCAGATTCAAGACCCTGAAGCTCAAACCTCCCAAGATCCTTCTGCGAGTGAACCGCAAAGATGAGTTGCGCAAGCGGTGTTCGGGAAAGATCTCGTGAACCGGGCAGCATTGTTGACACGACGCGCTCGAAGGGGACGTCTTCGTTCTCAAATGCCGCGGTGGTAGTAGCTCGGACTTGGCGAACCAAGGAACCAAAGTTATCTTGGTCATCAACGGTGATGCGCATGCACTGAGTATTGACGAAGAAGCCAATGATGTTTTCTAGTTCCCATCTGTTGCGGTTGGCGATGGGTGTGCCGATGACAGCGTCGTCAACGCCAGTGAGACGATAATGCGCCGCGCGGAAAGCAGCCAACAGCACGGCGAATGAAGTGGTGTTGTTCTCATTGCAGAAACAACGTAGATCCTGGTACAGCTGTCCATCGATAGAGACTGGCACGACGCCTGCTTCGCCTGATAGAAGAGCCGGACGAGGGAAGTCGGTGGGTAACTTGGCCGGCGAACAATCAGCAAGTTGCTTCTTCCAGTATTCGAGCTGCTTCTCGTGTTCTAGGGCTTGAGCCTCTTGCTTCTGCCACATGGCAAAGTCGCTGTACTGGATGGGGAGAGGGTTCATAGCTGAAGCGAGATCACGGCCTTGGAGAGCGGCAGCGTAAAGTTGGCTGAGATCATGACGGAGAACGTCGATTGACCAGCCGTCGGAGACGATGTGGTGCATGACGATGGAGAGGATGTAGTCTCTGTCGCTTAGGCGAACTAGAAGTGCTCTCCAGCCTGCTTCAGAGGTGAGTTCGAATGGAGTGGTCTGCTCTTGTTTCAGTAGGTCGAGGTAGTCACTATCTGGCGCATCGACAACCCTCAATTTCTTGGAGAGGGTCTGGTGAACGATCTGTACACCCGCACCGTCGCGATCTTCAAATGTAGTTCTCAATGTCTCATGGCGCTGCTCCAAGGCCATCAGCGACCGACTTAGTGCATCGATGTCCACCAAACCTCGCATACGCACAGCGTAGGGGATAAGGTACCATAGAGCACCGACCTCTAGCTGATCCAGGAACCAGAGTCGACCTTGAGAGTAAGACTGCTCGACAGGCCCGTCGCGAGTGGTCCTTGGGATAATGGCGTACGGCTCAGCACTACCGTTGACAACAGCCTCAAGACCAGCGAGAGTGGGGTTCTGATAGATGTCGGAGACCTTGAGATCTATTCCTGCTGACCGAGCCATGTTGACCATCTTGATGGCTGTGATTGAGTGGCCGCCTAGCTCAAAGAAGGTTGATCCAATGTTGGCAGCGCTAGGCTCAAGACCTAGGCACTGACGCCAAACCTCTTCCAGCTTGGATTGGCTGCTGGTAGTTGGAGAGCTGAATTGAGATGGGCGGGAGCTGCTTCCTTGGAGCTGCTGGGCCAACATATCGCCACCGATAGAGCGGAGCTTTCGTCTGTCAACCTTGCCAGTCGCGGTACGAGGAAGATTCTGCATGCTGATGTAGCATGATGGGATGGAATGGCGAGGAAGAACCTGCTCCAGTTTCACACTCATGGCCTTAGTCGCAGCCAGATCTAAGATGGTGGCATCTTCTATTGACTCGGTTGCTTCAGAAGCGATCAAGAAGGCAACGAGAACAGTGCTCATAGGCGAGTCCGACGATTTGACAGCTTCGACGACAATCGACATGTCGTCAGGCAATTGTTGTCGGAGATGAGTCTCCACAGCCCCAAGCTCAACACGCTGTCCTCTGATCTTGACCTGGGAGTCCATGCGACCAAGACAAATAACAGTGCCATCAGATGCATAACGCGCAAGATCACCAGTTCTGTAGAACTTGATTCCATTGGGTAGCTCTTTGAAGGGATACCAGGGTGGAACTGTTGAAAAGAATGGTGAATTTTCTGTTGGTGGAGGAATAATGTAGTCGCGCGCAATGCCTGGACTCTCAATGACGAGCTCACCGATTGCCCCGATCGGGACCAAACGATTCGGATCACTGGGATCAATGATCCAAGAGTGCGCGCCGACTGAGTGACCGATGTTGTTTGGATCAGCGCCTGATGAACTAATCTTGCCGACGAAGCAGATCGAAGAGCTCTCGCTCTGGCCGTAGCCATCCAAGAGTTGAACGCGAGGCGCCCAAATGGCATTGACAGACGGGGACATCTGTTCGCCAACAAGCACCAAAGTCTTGAGTCCAGGAACATCATCTGGCTGAAACGTGCCCATGTACGAAGGAGTTGCCATCATCCAATTGACATTTGCCCGATTGATAAAAGCAGGGACATTGTTCATGCGATCGTCATCAGAGGGAATACACACACAGCCGCCGTGGATCAACGTCGTCATGATCTCAAGAAGACAAGCGCCAAAGGCATGAGATCCGAATTGAAGAGCGCGCGTATCGCTGTTGATACCAAGTGCAGAGCCGAATTGGAGGGCGCACGATGAAAAGGCTCGATGCTCGATCATGATGCCTTTTGGATCACCAGTACTGCCAGATGTGAAGATCACATAGGCCAAGTCCTCTGGAGTAACCTTGGCTAGAGTAAGCTCTGGCTTCAAGGCGCAAGTGCAAATAAGTGACTGAACAAGGTCATCGTCAACAATAATGCAGCGCTCGATAATACCTTGCACCTTGCTCCTGTATAGCTTGGAAGTCAACGCAACAGTAGCGCCAGTCTGCCCAGCGACCCGCGCGACTCTAGCAGGAGGATCATTAGGGTCAACGAGAGTAAAAGCATGACCGGCTTTCATGACTGCGAGCATCGAAGCGACAACCCATTTGGACTTCTCAAAGTAAATCGGGAGTATCGCGTGCTCTTGGTCAGGGGTGCTGAACTTGATGACCGCTGCTAGACGAGAGGTGATGTTGTCGAGTTCAGAGTATGTCCATTCTCCGTCCCAAGCGCAGATCGCGACTTTGCTTGGAGATAGAGAGGCTGCCTGGAGCATCTCTTTGTGGATGAGGGTGGGTTGGGATGGGATGGGATGTGAGTTCCAGCTCTGGATCTCAGCTTGATCCTCTGACGTCAAGATGTCGAGTTCACCCGCAGATGGTAGCTTATCTGGGGAGACTCGTAAGCGCTTGACAAACTGGCCTAGTTGTCGCAGGAGGCGAGCTATTTGCTGGGAGTCGATGAGACTCTTGTCATATCTGGCAATGATGGAAAGTCCATCACTGACCGTCTGGCAGTGGAGTAGCAGAGCGCGATTGGTGCAGGGCATAAAGAGCTCAGACTCTCCAGTCTTTTGGAGAATCTCACAAGTAGAGGAGGATTGCTCATTCTCGCTCTCGGTCACTAACAGAACAGTCTGGAATCCGCATGCAGCAACGCCATCATCCCCAGTGGAAGAGATGCTGCGAAGACCGACATCTGAAAACTGGCAGATGCCATCATCGTTAGCATTAACTGCGCCGATGATATCTGAGAGAGGCTGATCGGAAGCGCAGTATACGCGGAAAGGCACAACGGTCCGTGTTGGGCCATTTACCAAGAGCTGCTGTTGCTCTGTCACTACGCCAAACAGAGCCTCTTGCGACTGCGTGTAACGTGACAAGAGAATCGCAAGCGCGGTTCGGCAAATAGCTGCACTGGGCCAAGTTGATTGAGCTGAGGCCGAGAAAGTGATGCGATGTTCGGACTTTGCATTGGGGTAGGTAACAGCCAATGGACAAGTCAAGTGCGGAAACGCCGAAGCATTTAGATCACTCAAGTAATTCTTCCAATACTGAGTTGCAGGATGAAGACCCTCAGTTTCAGGAGTTTTGGACCCATCAGAAGGAGTCAACGACAGACCATCATCCTCAGGGTCAGAAGACTCGGGCGTGTAGGGTCTGTTGGAGAGTTCATCGTGCCCATGGGTGTAAGCTTTCAGAACTCGCCCGAGGATCCGTTCTTGAAACGTGATATCCACAAGAGCATGGCTAAAGGTCCAGATGAGGATCTTCCTCTTTTCAATAGGATCGTCAAGAAGAACGAATCTGTTGCAGCGAGGTCCAGAAGCCGCAGCTGCTGCTTCATCCTTCACAACAGCATCTTTCTGATCAGCAGATGTACTAAACATCCATGAGAAGACAAAGCTGTCTTTCAAGATGACCTGATACGTTTCTCCACTTGAGAAAGTAAAGGCACAGGTCCTTAGAGCAGGGGTTCGGCGGATGGTATCTTTCCAAGCAGCAGCCAACTTTGAGATGTCAATGTCATTGCTGATCTCATAAGCAACATGCCCAATGGAGCGTTGCTTTTCACTACCAGCGCAGTCGATGACATCTTGCTGGAACGCCGTGATGGGGAGGATATTCTCGATTCTATCACGGCCTAGACCGAGAGAGCAAGAGACTTCCTCGACAAGAGTGTCGGTGTGACTTGCATCGTCACTGCGCAGCAACAAAGGCATGACTGGCGTACCACTCTTGGTGTTGAGTGATGTCATGTTGAATGTAAGAGAAGGGTTTGAAAATGAAGGATTGTCCGACTGTGTAACATGGGGTTTTGGGCAAGGCAATATGGTTGAATAGGCAATAAGAATCTCTCTCTCAAGTCACAGCTCGTATAAGCTGATAGGACAAAATGCTATAGAATCGTTGAGTGAGTCAATGTCAATCTTTCTGAATATACCTCACCTGCAGGAATGCAGCGCGGCATGCAGCAATTCTCGTGTTGGCACCATATCTAAACCACAATTACGTGCTCCTTACCAAAGAGGCACATCAGCATCCCAGCATAATCATCCCATGTCTAAGACTCTCGATGCTTCCATCATGAGGTGTCATCAAAAGATCCTGCGAGGCATATTCTGTCTCAGCCAGCCTCACCCGCCGTCATTTCTCAACAGCATCACAGCCTGCAAGTAACCTGCCAATCCTTCATATGATTCAGATCCTGATCCTTCAATTGGCCGATCGCACTGATTGGCTACCGCGGGCTATTCTGCAGGGAGATTGATAATCGGTGTTTGTGGCGCTGACCTGCATGAGTAGGTCTTACTCTCGGGTGAATCCTACAGCCCGCGGGAGGGGGCGGAAAAGACAGGCCAATCAGTCTGAGATTGCAACCTGCATGCAGAACTATCCCGTGTCTCGGTAGTACGCGGGTTAAGAGGCTATGCGAGCCGGGCAGTTGCCGGTAGTGGTCAGTTACCGGATTGAGTAGTCTGCTTAGCAGTTGAGAGCGTGATGCCTTGATGGAAGGTAAGCTGATGGAGGGCGATGCTATTTACGGTTTGACTAATTAATTAGAAATGAGTTCACTAAAATAGTAATAATGGCCGAAAATAACTCCAGCTGTCTCGTGGAGTAAGGCGCTCAATGCAAGTATCAGCTGTCAGGTCTATCAACTCAAAATAACACTCTCAGAAACACAGTTCATGCAGCATACCAACTACCCACATAGTGCCAAGGTCAGGTATCCTTGGATTATCCTTTGATATTCTCTATAGCAAATGCCATCCTGTCTCTTCACTTCACCGCCTCTGCCCCAGAACAAGACCGTAAGCACATCACCCACTTACAAGTCGGAGTCTTTGCCCTGCACCCAATCTTTTTCTCAAACGCATTACCGTTAGCAAGCACCATGACATCCCAAGAACACCCAAACTGGCTCACGGCCCTCCTGGCCGACACAAAGCTGCCCCCAAAGCTATTCGCCTGGTCTCCTGCCAACATCCAGCCAAAGCTAGATGAAGGCATTGACATGGGAAGTTCCAACAGCGATGAGGAGTATGACAACGATACTTGTGTCTGTCCATCAACAGATTCTGATCAGCGTATCTACATCATTGGTCCTGGGAACATCGGTCGGCTGTACGCAACTCACATGGCTCGTCATCCCAACGCCCTTCCCATTACGCTCGTGGTTCATCGCAAAGAGCTGTTATCGCAGTGGGCCGCATGTGAAGGTGTCGGCCTCGCAGACCTTACCAGTGGTAAACTCTTCCTCAACAAACGCTTCACCGTTGAGTGGTGGACCGAAACAAGGCCTCACTACGGTCCTGTGAAAGAAGTCGCAGACGGAAACAAACTTCACAACGTCTTTATCTCCACAAAAGCAGAAGCTGGATTATCTGAAGCAGATCGCATCCGCCGATATCTGGGGAGATGCAGTTCCGTCGTCTTTGCCCAGAACGGCGTCTGCAAACTCTGGCCTCCCCATGGTCCTTTATACATCTCTCATCGATACCCAAGCGGTGATACTCCAACTTTCTCCGCGTGTGTCGTGAGTCATGGGGTTGCATCAGCAGGTCCTTTCTTGAGTGTCCATGCGGCTCAGGCTGACGCATATATCGGACCTGTGTTCTGGGCATCTGATCCCGAATCGCCGTGGAGGCAATCATCGGATGACTTCTTTATCCGGCATATTGCTACGACGCCGCATGTCAACACGAAGCAGGTGTCTTCGGGTGAGATTTGGCTCCTTCAGCTGGAGAAGTTGGTCATGAATGCGGCGATCAATCCACTTACGGCTCTACTGCGCTGTAAAACGGGGGAGTTGTTCACATCCTATGGCTCTGATGATCCTTTGGCACTGGTGATCGACAAGCTCCTCTGGCAGACAAGTACTGTTATCCAAGGTCTTATTGATCATGACACGAGTCGCAGTGTTATCACTTCCTACGCTGAACAGATGTCACGACTCGGGACAAGCTGCAGCGTCTCTAAGGTCCGAAAGAAGTTGATGGAGAGGTTCTCACAACCCATCTTAAAGGCAAAGTTATATGCATTTGGCCTCAAGATATTTGAACATCGTAGCTCTATGCTACAGGACATAGAGGCCGGGAGGAAGACTGAGATACGGGACTTTAATGGTTGGATTGTAGATATGGCTTGTTTCTTGGGTACCGGTTTAGATGTTAGCGTGCACAATGGGTTGACTGGGCTAATTGAGCGCTGTGAGCGCTTGGATAAGGTGGAGCTTGGTAGAGCATTGCTGTAATACAGGGTAGAATAGGCCCAAACTACCGTAAAGATCTTAATTTTATTACTTAACTTAATATTCAGCACGCCTGATTGATTATAATTATTGTTTTATAATCCATAAGCGCTAATCACCATATCATTATTTGATACTCCCTACTTGCACTCTACTAGCAATAGCTTTCAACGAATTTTACCTATTAGCAATACCTCATCGTTGCGTTCAATACTCCAGCTTCCCCAAAGTAGGCAAACAGTAAAGCACTGTGAAGATCCCTACCTCACATCAGTCTGAGACCACTTCGTATTCCCAATCGGGCATTATACGAGCGGCAATCGACATGTCATCCGCAACTCAAACATGCATGTCACATCATGCCGACACGCCAATCTACGACCTGTCTCAAACAAAAGATGGGTCGTCAAATCTGCTGCCAGGGATAGCCACGGAGTAAAACGGAAAATTCCGATTGGCCTGCGAGTGAAGAATTTTGAGACAAGACAGTCAATCAATGACGACGGAAGCGCTCCGAGCCGAAGCTCAACTTGCAGCAATTCTCCGCTGAGCGGCATTAGCTGGCCTCAACTGTCAACGCCACTTCATACCTATCAGCCCCCACGGAAAAGGATCAAGTGCATTTCTAGACATATGATCTCATGTAAAGAAAACGCTATTGTACTCCCCGCTGAGACAAGCGCCCGGCAAGTCTCTCTCCCGGCATTCCTTCCTTTGTTCTATGCAGTCATCACGCGACGCCCAGAAGAATCCCACTCCCTTTCCTGCGCCGTGCTGACGCATGAGAAATCCCTCCAGTATGTCTGAGTTACAGCGGGTCCTCGGACTCTGAGTACGATCCGACGGGAAAATACGCGTGTCCGCGCTCCCGATCGAGGAACGGTATTTGTTGTTTCCCCCATTTGCTTTGGGGTAACGGTGAGTGCGATGAGAGGCCTGACGCTTGCAAACTGTTTCTGTACCAATAATCTACTATGGGAAAACGCACAGCGGAGAATTCAGCGGCGAATGAGGAGGGTGAGGAGAAGCATCCTGAGATGGGCGTTGATGGACGTCCTGAGAGGGAGCCTACCTTTCAGGATTATATGGTATGACAACGAGTTCACCACTGGAACGGCTTGATGCAAGGAATACTGATATCTTCTCTGTTACGTAGAGAGTCTTCAAGTATGCCTCAAAATGGGATCTTCTCGCATACACCGTTGGTGTAATTGCCTCGATTGGTGTTGGCATAACCTTGCCTTTGTTGAACATCGTTTTCGGTATGTAAAGAAAAGAGGCCCAATATCGATGCGGGATGCTAATGAGACCGCTGAACTGCAGGTCAATTCGCTAGCAAGTTCTCAGACTATGCTGGTACCGAAACACTGCCGGGTGATGAGTTCCGCTCAAAGCTTAGTGAACTTTGGTGAGTTTGACCTGCGATACGAAAACTAATTTTCGGTTGACGGCCGTTAATACCACCGCGATAGCCTATACCTGCTTGGTCTCTTTCTTGGTCGCCTTGTACTAGGCTACATCACCAACGTACGCTACCTATCTCAGCGTTCCTGCTCATCTGCTTACCAATTCTCAGTTCGCATTTCGCATGACGGGCGTGAGAATCACCTCCGCCATTCGTCAAGACTATTTCACGGCATTGTTCTCACAAAGCGTCCATGTACTGGACTCTATGCCTCCAGGATATGCAACCACCATCATTACCACTACTGGAAACACCCTGCAACTCGGAATCTCCGAGAAGCTGGGTGTTTTTGTGGAGTATAATGCCACCATGATCGCTTCAATCATTGTCGCCTTCATCTACAGCTGGCAGCTTTCCCTAGTGACATTCACTGCTGTTATCTTTATCACTTTCAGCGTCAGTCTGGTGCTTCCCTACATCACCAAGGGCCAGACAAACCAGACCAAAGTATGTACCAATCATTAGATCCTGCGACATGTTACTGACGAAAGGGCTAGTCCGAAGGTATGGCGATGTCTGTTGCTAGCGAAGCCATGAGCGGTATCCGAATGATTGTAGCTTATGACGCAGAGTCACGAATTGGCAGCAAGTATGGCAGATTCGTTGACGAAGCAAAGAAGCACGCTCAATTCGCCGGTCCATTCATCGCCCTACAATATGGCCTGGTGTTCTTCAGCAGTTATGCGGCGTTTGGCCTCGCGTTTTGGTACGGAACCAGGCTTTTACTTGACGATAAGATCAATCAGCTGGGGGCCATCATAGTCGTCTTGTTCTCTGTCATGATGATCGTCACAGCAATGGAGAGAATCTCCACGCCTCTTCTAGCAGTCAGCAAAGCAACAGTCGCAGCTTGCGAGTTCTTCACCGTTATTGATGCACCCCGCCCAGAGCCTGGCCACCTCACCGATCCAGAAGTGTCTGCGACAGAAGACATTATCTTGGAGGACGTCACATTCGCTTACCCCAGTCGACCGCAAGTCAAGATCCTCGATAATCTCAATCTGCGAATCGAAACAGGCAAGGTCACTGCGATTGTCGGCCCCTCTGGCTCAGGCAAGAGTACAATCGTTGGTCTTGTTGAGAGATGGTACAGTCTCAAAGACCAGTACGTCATCTCCAAACCAGTCGAGAAGCCGACCGATAAGAAGAACAATGGCGACAAAGAGGAGGACGAGCAAGAATTACAAGAACTCTCGTTCGCAGGAGACGAAACTGGCCCGCCAGTTGAGCTCCATGGCCGAATTTCTACATGTGGCCACTCTCTTGATGACATCAACGTGAAGTGGTGGCGATCGCAAATTGGACTTGTCCAGCAGGAGCCGTTCCTCTTCAATGACACCATCTACAGTAACGTTCTCAACGGCCTTATCGGTACAAAATGGGAGAATGAGCCTGATGAGAAGAAAAGGGAGATGGTGCATGAAGCCTGCAAGGAGGCATTCGCAGATGAGTTCATTGAGAAGCTGCCAGAAGTATGTCGGGTCAACCATTGTCAACCAGCTAGCACCTTGACCCTCAAGTAAAATACTAACATCTTTGTTTCACTACAGGGCTACGACACCGCCGTCGGTGAAGTCGGCATCAAACTATCAGGCGGTCAACGCCAACGCATCGCCATCGCCCGAGCCATAATCCGCCGCCCGGCCATCCTCATCCTCGACGAAGCCACAAGCGCAATCGACGTCCGCGGCGAACGAATCGTACAAGCAGCACTCGACCGAGCCTCCAAGAACAGAACAACGATTGTAATCGCACATCGCCTTTCTACTATCAAGAAGGCTGATAGGATTGTTGTTCTGCGACAGGGACAGGTTATCCAGTCTGGTACTCATGAGAGTCTTTTGACTGACGAGACTGGTCTTTATTATAGCCTTGTAAATGCTCAGGCACTGTCTCTGGGGGAGCAGAAGGAGGGGAATGAGGTGCTTGCCAAGGAAGAGCGGCCGTCCTCTGTTCACGAAAAGGCATACACCGAATCCACCATCGAAGGCAAGCCCCTGGAGAAGAAACCCAAGAACAAAGGCCTCCTCTCTAGTTTCGGCCGCTTCTTCTATGAGACCAAGTCCAACTGGTGGATGATGGCTCTAACCCTCTTCTTCTCCGCCTGCGCCGGCGCCGCAGTTCCCTTCCAAGCTTGGCTCTTCGCCAAAGTCATCATCGTCTTCGGCTATCTCCCCGACGAGTCCAAGGTCAGAAGCGAAAGTTCCTTCTGGTCGCTCATGTGGACTGTCCTCGCTATCTCAGCCGGTCTAGCCTACTGCGCTACATTCTTCTTGTCGACGCGCACTGCGAGTACTATTCGTTCCAAATACCAAAAACAGTACTTCTTGTCTATCCTGCATCAGAAGGTTGCCTTCTTCGATCACGATGATCACTCTCAGGGGACGATGGCTGCGAGGAGCGCTGAGGATCCACGGCAGCTTGAGGAGCTGTTGGGGTCCAACATGGCAAGCGTGTTTATTGCGCTGTGGACTCTGATGGGTACTATCGCTATTGCACTGGCTTTTGCATGGAAGCTTGCCCTCGTGTCGCTTTGTGTAGTCGTACCCATCCTCCTCGCCGCTGGGTATTGGCGAATGCGCTACGAGATCAAGTTTGAAGAAATGAACAACGCCGTGTTTGTCGATAGCTCCAAGTTCGCCTCTGAAGCAATTGGCGCATTCCGTACAGTATCATCTTTCACACTTGAAAGTGCTATCTGCGATCAGTTCCGCACTCTCAACAGCAACCATGTCAAGGACGCCTTCAGGAAGGCTCGCTGGGTGAGCTTGTTGTATGCCTTCTCTGATAGCGCGACCATCGGATGCCAGGCTATCGTATTGTACTACGGTGGACGACTTCTCCTCAGCGGGGAGTATAACCTGGAGAGTTTCTTCGTGTGCTTCATGTCTGTCTTGAATGCGGGCGAGACAACAGGACGCGCACTCAGCTTTGGACCCAACGTCGCTCAAGTACGTGCAGCTGCCAATCGTATTCTTGGGTTGAGGGACAGTCAGGTGAGGGATGGACCCGGGGCTACTGGCGCACAGTTCATTTCTCAAGGTGACGGTATGAAGATTGAACTGGAAAACATTCACTTCAAGTATCCTACTCGCGACGTGCCTGTCTTCCAGGGTCTCAGCCTCACGATTGAGAAGGGCCAGTTTGCTGCTCTAGTGGGTGCATCGGGCAGTGGAAAGAGTAGCATCGTATCTCTCCTTGAACGGTATGTAGACACTCCTATACATGTTAATGATGAATACTGACATGATGCCACTGATAGATTCTACGACGCTGATCACGGTCGCATCCTATGCAATGGCCAAGACATCGCAGCCAACAACGTCTACACGTACCGTCGCCATCTCTCGCTTGTTGCTCAAGAGTCAAGCTTATTCCAAGGTACATAAAACAGATCGCACTATCATAAATGACATAGCTGATGATCTTATAGGCACGTTACGAGAGAACATCCTCCTCGGCGTCGAAGACACCGTCGACGACGCAACTGTTCATCGCGTATGTCAAGAAGCATCCATCCACGAGTTCATCATGTCCCTCCCAGAAGGATATCAAACACAAGTAGGCTCTCGCGGCGTGACCCTCTCGGGCGGCCAAAGACAGCGTGTCGCCATCGCCCGAGCCTTGATGCGAAACCCAGATATCTTGCTCCTCGATGAGGCCACAAGTTCTCTTGATTCTGAGAGTGAGAAGCTGGTCCAAGAGGCCTTTGAGCGCGCTGGCAAAGGGCGCACTATGGTAGTCGTTGCTCATCGTCTTGCGACGGTGCAAAATGCTGATATCATCTTTGTTCTTGGTGAGGGCAAGTTGATTGAAAAGGGGAGCCATCGCGAGTTACTGGCTGCTCGTGGTGTTTACTGGCAGATGGTAAGTACTTTTTCTCACTGCGATTACAGTGCGATTTATTTGATTGCTAACTTTAACAGTGCCAAAGCCAGGCTTTGGACAAGTAGATGTCCTCTTGAGGTTTGGTCATATCGCTGTCGCAGGACATTAAACTTTAACTTCGCTATAATATAACATTTTCCTATATGCGTATAACTACATTATGCCAACGTCTCTTATCATATGCCCAGATATTGGCCACCGTTTCACTTTGTGTCCTCAAACAGCCGGATCTCTCCAAAGTCCATTCGTCACATTTAAGGCTTTATAAAACGAATTCAACAGGATCTATTATCTATTAAAACTCGCCAGGGCCTGTCCATTTACATAACAGCTAACAAGTATATTTCCATCATTCCCGCACCCAGTGTACCCAAGAAAGCTTGAATGCCCTCTATGATCCCTAAACATATGAATACACAGTCACTGGATCTGGTGTCACAGTGTCTGTAGAGAGATCAGTCGCCACAACTGTATCATATTCGGTGACTATAACATAGCCCATGTTGGTCACAAACACACTGTTATAAGCGGTCGCAGATGCCGTGTTGTAATTCGTCGTGTGAATAGTGTTACGGTTCGTCACGCCGACCGTGTTGTAGTTAGTTAGTGACACAACAGTTTTGTAGTTCGTCACCGTGACTTTAACTGGCTTGGTCATCGTGGCACTCTTGCGCTGTGTTACCGATTTGGTGTTGCGATTCGTCATTGCCAAAGTCTTCAAGTCTGTTGCCGTTCTGGTTACTAGGTAGTTGAATGTAGTGACTTGCTTCTTTGTGATATAGCTTGTTGTATACTTGGTTACCATATGAGGGACAGTCTTGGGTTCCTTGGCGGTGAAAGTCTGTGTCATTGCAGCAGCGGGCTTGTTGGTGATGCGGCGCTTTGGAGATGGGTTGAGCAGAATGCAGATCCGTCTGCTTTGTTGCTCTTCAAGTCCATGATGTCCTTGTCGTCAGGCTGGCAGATGGCTAGAGACGGCAGATGCTTGTTAATTTCACCTCTTACCAACTCGGCTCATACATACCGGGTGCTCTCCTGTCAAAGGCCAAGCCCTTGAGCTGGCCAGTGGCATTGTATTTGGGCCATTGAGCACTAGTCGGAATAGCGCTAACTGCAGTGATGAAGAGCAGCGCTAGTGACGTCTTCAGCGCAACCATTTTATACTATTAGTTCTGTATCGGAGCAGAAAACTACTTTCGTTTTGAGTCTTGAATGGAGTACTACAGAGGTAATATATACCATATGGCGGTCTAAGAAAAAGGGGGGGGAAAAGGGGGAAAAAAGAAGAAAAAAAGAAAAACGAGAATCAAGGTAGGCTCATCGTATTATTATAAGTGCTAGGCAATATGCATTTTATTCTTAAGGGTTTTCTAGCAACTGTCGCCACGATTTTCTGCATTCCAGTCAAAGGCCAACAGCCGTTATGACTGCCTAGAATGAAGACAGGCTTTAGACTATGCCAACGCTACTAAACATGCTAACCGCAATGCGAGTAAAATATCATCGGCTCTATAATTAGCTAGCCGACCCTTCCATTCATCGCTGTTCTGGCCTCTGAACAGGCAGACAGGGCCCACTGCTAAACGAGGCGTTAACCACAGCCGTTCAAACACGTGCTCACCATGAGATTCAAGTTCAAAGTTTAACAACCATGAGAGGAATTCAATTAAGCACTCGAACTCTAGAACTTCAAAAAACCCATCAGACTACTCAATGGGAGCGGAAGGGTGCACTGAATTGACTTTGCATACCAGTGCGCTATTGCACTAAGTAGTTTGCAGTACCGTTATTGAGCACGACGAAAAGGGTCACCAAGGCATGTATGTCCTTGATATCGGTGATATCTTCTTTAACGCCTGCAATATCCGAGACAGTAATCTATAGATGGCCACCGTCTTGCCATGTTGATTAAGCAGTGTCGGGCGGCTGAGAGCCTGAGATAGGGCTGAGTTAATTGCGCGAATCCAATAGAATGTTGTTAGTGCTGTAGATATTCTCTTGTTTTTCTCTGCCCACCTGGATTATAATGTTGGTTGTTGTTGAGGGACGTGATTTGGGACATGCTGACATGCAAGTGCTGGTTCCAGCCTTCAAGTGCAGGAAGTGCACCAATCTACAGAACTTTAGAGATCTCTCACAGCTTAAAGCTTAACCTGAAAGGTGGTGATATCTTAGGTATTTGCAGGTCTCTTTTGACTTAGTGGAACGTATATGGTAATGCGATTGCCCCCATCCCCTGATCGATGAGGTTTAGGCAGCATTGGCCTCCTTACGCCTCGATCTTCATAGCGAGAGGGTCTTGTTCTAAACCCTATTCCAGCTCATAGATACAATAGAAAGTAATGATGCGTCAGCAGTGTGGCATTATCTCATATTGTTGAAGCCATTCACTATATTAACCTTCGCGCGGAGACGTTGCACAAGAATGTTTCGATGGTCCTCTCTTGTAGGACTTCTGGTACCTCTGAAGTCTGGCACAATTCTTAATCGCAATAATTGGGTTAAGTAATAGTATGCAGATTTACAAAAGCTTAGACATCTGCAAATGTATCATATCAAGTTTCCCGTCATAGTTGAGTACAATCGCTGCGTTGCTTCAAGACGTTCCTCATCTAATAGGTGTCAGGGAACAATGGCCCTCGGCGCTGACAAATTGATAGGGCTGACAAATGACTCTACAGAATCAAGCTGCCACTAACAGCCAGTAAAAAACGCCATGTACCATGACGTACCGTTGACACCTGATTGGCTCTGATCTGACACAATCTATGATTGATAAGATGGATCCGATGTTGGCTCCGCGGAACCTTACGATAAGCACACTTGGTGCTTCCCATCTTCTCGCGGGTCAACATCTGCGTAGTGATTGTTAAGATGCTTGATAATACGCAAGTTTGGGCTCTTTATGATGTATGTGCTTACTGAATGGGGGTAGCTATATAAGACTACCTAACGTCTGCTTCTCATGATCAATTCACATTCTCAATTTCATTTAATTTATCTCACCTCACCAAATTCAGACCGTAACATCTTTTCCAATACCACCGGCACTATACAATAACTCAATAACTTAATAACCACTTCGGTCATGGCCGCCAAGTCTCCTATCGTCCTCATTCTCGGCTCCGGCCCAAACATCGGCCAGTCCGTCGCCCGCAAGTTTGCTTCCCAAGGCTTCAGAGTCGCCATTGCCTCTCGATCCCAGAAAGAGGCAGACAGCACCGACAAACAGCTCAACATCAAGACTGATCTGACCAAGCCGCTCGAAGTTACCGATGCCTTCAGTAAAGTGAAGACAACTTTCGGAACTCCAAGCGTTGTTGTCTACAATGGTAAGTGCTAGTTTCCAACAAGATATGATCAACTGGCTCACACGTTACAGCTAGCGCCGCGGCTTTTCCTCCAGCGGATGACCCGCTATCCGTCTCTTACACCGACTTTACCAACAACACCGCCATCAACATCCACAGCGCCTTCATCGCAGCCCAGCAGGCAGTCGCTGGTTTCGCTCAGCTTCCAGAGTCAGCTGCACGCACCTTCATCTACACCGGAAACATTCTTAACGTCACAATCCTTCCCAAGTTCCTCGATGCAGGAGTTGGCAAGTCTGGCGCTGCTCATATGATGTGGGCTGCTGCGGACGCATACAAGAGCAAAGGCTACAAGTAAGCCGCCGATTTTTACGTCTAGTGCTGTTGGCTAACATTCTCAAGGTTTTACTACGCTGATGAGCGCAAGCCTGATGGAGCGCCCAAGTACCGCGTTGATGGAGATGCACATGCTGATCTGTACTGGGAGCTATCCCAGGGTAAGGAGCAGGGACCCTGGATGCAGACTTTTGTGAAGGGAGAGGGATACAAGAAGTTTGACACGCTTTACACTCCCATTGCTTAGGTAGCACCTATTCTGTACTAGGACATTGTAAATGGCATTAGAACCCAACTTAAAGCCCTTGATCTCCATTAAATATGTAGCTTGCCCCTTAGCTTCCTCCCCCTCCCATGTGAGTATTGATCTGGCCAGAATAAATCCAATACCCATTGTTGCATCTTGCCCCAGGAGTATTTTCTAGATATGCCCCAGTCCATGGCTTCTGCGGAAGAACGTATTCGCCATCAAAAGAGCGCCATATCTGCCAGTGAAAAGTATCTCCTTCATGCCCCTGGGAGCGGATTATCTCGCGCCGTAATTCAACGTACGCAGCGTACGAGATTGAGACGGCGAAAGGTTCTTGCATGCGATCAGAGGTGTGGCGGTTGAAAAAGTCGTCGAGGATTGCAAAAATGTGTCCAAATTCCGTTTCCCCACCTTTAGACAGACCAAGCTTCAAGGCCAGGTTGAGTCTCTTGAGGCTAGGGAAGTGATTGTCGAGAATCAGAAGGATTGCCTTTAGGTCCTTTTCGCGCGGGAGATTTTTGTTTTTACAGACGTTAGTTTCGACAGACCAGATAATTTCCAGTGATGTTATGGCTGATAATCTTTGTGGGAGGATATATGCCGGGAGGTTGATCAGCAAGATTGCGCTCGAGATATGTATTGTGTTTGTGCTGTAAAGGACATTGATGCCTTCGGTATAACTGACGGACGAATGGTAAGCATGATCCGATGGACCTTGCCAATAGAGACTTACGCCTGTCGACACGTTTGAAGCCATCCCAGAGCGCCGATCCAACACCCATAGAGCTCTTCACCGTTCTTCTTCCACATCTCACAGCAGTGTGCGATCCCCACGCAACACCTATCCTTATCAACTGCTCTCGAGCTATAGGACTCTGTCGCGATAGCTGGGTGCCAAGGCGGAGGTTTGCGATGGCATGTGCAGCCTCTCCAAGACCAAGACTTTGGTCGGCTGTTGTCCAGGCCTAACCACCATTCCTGGATCATGGCGTGTGTTTGCTTGTTACCTGGCATTGGTGGGTGGTTGTATGTGAGGTCCATATGAACTGTTCGATCGCCAAACGCCTCAATCAGGACTTGCCTTCGGATCTCATATGGGAGCATCTGGAAGAATAGTGCAGTCTGTTGTGACTGGGACAAGGCTTCAATTGAAGGCGAAGGCGTTAGAATGTGCGGTCGCGGACTTGGGAGAGTTGGAGGCTCGGGAACGCCGTTGTGCTTCTCCCGTTTCGCGACGTACCATGTCATAAAGCGTCGCTTCATGGTTCATAGAGGGCAAAAATTGACATTCGTGCTTATGTTGGTTGTAGATAAGAGTCAGGCAGAGAGCGCACTGAGGCCAGGCGTATTACTAATATTTGGCTAGGCAAAGCAGTGTCAAATATGGCCAAGTACTGTGCACATCGCTGTAAGCAACATAGGTTACAGCCGCATATAAATTCTTAACGGCATTATAACAATCGTCAATTTTCTCAAGGCTCCAAAGAAGCATAGGCAATCAATCCAGAGCCTTATGTGTTTCTGGGCATATACTGGCAATAATAGGTATTCTCAGCCGCTCAAGTTACAGAAGCATCTACGGCGGGTAAACCAAAGCAGCCAACCGAAGTCACCGGTCTACTGTTCAAGTCGTATCTGTCTTGATAGTCTCCCCGAATCCAGTAACCTCTATCTGGGGTTGCATCAATTACTTTGCCTTCCCCATATAACTCTAGCGGCTCAGATGATAAGTGACGCCAACTTGAGGACCACTCTTTCTCATATGATATCGATCGTGACTCGAACATCTATCTGAAGATCCTTGTAAGCAGGTTGAGGGATGGATGAAAAGATGTCTCGAAAGTGGGAGAGCCCAGTCAGATCTATCCGGCGGTTGACGAGCGCACCCACTGATTGGAGCATGTCGGGAAGATATACAAGGCCTGTAGTCAGGCTTTGAGGCTTTAATTAATGAAACTGAAAATATAAAGTATGTTATAACTACTACTTTATGAGATCATTTGTCTCTACAATAGCCTGAATGAGATTTCCTGAGGGCATCTCAGGAAAATCCATCACAATTGTCCCGACCTTTGCGGGGCTACCTGTGCCCCCTATCGAGCGAATATATCCTTCGAGTTGAGCGTTAAATGGTGGGGCGCCATTAATCGGGTCAGTGGCGTAAGCTCTGGGTGTGTTAGAGATACCATTAGTTACAAAGCTACTATATCCAATACACCAAGTGCCTGCAGATGAGTTCGCTGGCACTTGACTGATGAAATCCTTTACTGCCTGCAACTTTTCGGGGACAGCTACTGAGCCATCGCCATCTATCTGATACTGATCTTCGATCAGAAGCTTCACAGATGCCGAAGGCGAGCCAACAATTTTGCCCTCGATTGTTGCTTGTTTGTTCTCTGGCCAACCAGTAGCATCAATGCCGAAGGGTTTCCCTTGGCTACCACGGATGTTAGGTAGGGGGAGTCGACGAATCAGTTGGATTCTACCCTTGATATCCTGTAGCCGAGGGATGGTATCCCCGAGTGACCACAAAGGGTTTTGAAATGTCATGTTGTACAGGTCGTTTGAAACCTTCTGGTTCAGGTTCTCACCCTGATCATACTTTACTTGAACGATGATAACTTCGGATGGGTGTTTGCTGAGCCATGTGTAGAAGTATTCGAATATGTCAGCGAAAGTAAGGCCGACATTGAAATCACTATGACATGCTGACAATGGTCCAAGAGGAGCCTTGGTAACCGTAAGACCTAATTCATCTAACGTCTGGTCGAGGCCATTGCTGTAGCCACCACGCAAATCGAAATAACGTATTCCCGCATCAAGTTGCTGTATATACTCCATATCCTGGCATACCACATAGGGGCCGACGGTCGAGCTATTCAATATCCCATAGCCGCTGAAGTGGTATGTGGATGAGTCATGAGTCCCGGGAATCGATAGGTCGGCTAGTGAAACGCTCTGATCTGTGATTTGGCCCATCCAGGAACCCATAGAGCGTTGGCTCAAAGGACGACGTGAATAGTATATAGTTTGGGGTGTGTTATTCATATTCCAGATGATATAAAGCCAACGATTAGAGTAAATCAAGGCCGCTTCATTCCAGCATTCGAGGTTATCGGCTGTACCCATAGAGTAGTTGCTAGTCCAGCAGCCATGAGGTGCGTCATATTCGCATATGAGATTGCTGTAACCGTGCCATTTCTTGAAGCAGATCCACGAGCTTTGGCCATCGGGAGTAGATGTAGCACTTACGCCACTATTTCCCCGTTCGTCCAGCTTATCGGTACGTGTCCATACACCATTGACTAGGGTATTCTCAAGAACTGTGCGGCTGTCATTATCGGCAAGAAATATGAGGACCAGTTCGTCGAGGCCTGTGTTCCCTTTTCGCACGATAAGACCCATATTGCCAGTTGTCGAATTATCGGTCGCAGTGCTGGGTAAGAAACTTTCTGGTCCAGAGATGGTCGTCGCGTCTGGTTTCGAGATTATCCAGTTGATACGGTCGCCATTGTTGCGGTCAAAGCCAACCATGTGCAGGTCACCATGGTAGACTGTGGCCGCAACAGAGGTGTTCCACGTAGAGTCGAGAGCCCCAGATTCTTGAAATGTAGTGCCGTCGTACTTGTAGATATATAATCCAGAAGAGGTAGGGGACGAACATGGGACTAGTGCATAAAGTTCGGAATGGAAAACAACCAAAACAGATGTATGAGATTGGGCCATTGAGGAATCACTAAGTGCAACCGAAGTTGGTGTAGCCCAGCCATTTTCCGATGTAAGCCAATATGTGAAGCTAAATGACGATGCACATTTGGAGGGTTCGTTCTGGTACTGCGTAGCCCAGGCGAGAAACAGTGTGCCATTGAAGTCGCATGCAGCAGGCTTGAATTGAGTGCCTACGGAGTTGTCCGTGGCAACTGGCTGTGCTTGGCTCCAGGGGAAAGGGGGCAGATCCAGATTGGAACTCACTGCATCCTGGCTCCAGGGAAAAGGGGGCAGATTCAAATTGGAACTCATTGTATCCATAATGCACTGGCACTTTTGCAGTTCGCGTGACAAGAAAAATTATTTTTCAAAACTCATAGGCAACGCGACAGTCTTCTATTTATTCTTAGCTTTCTTAAATTTTTAATGGCTTCCATGCTGCTTCGTAACCCTAAACACTACTCGGAGTCTCGACCGCCATTAAAGACGCCTACCTGGCTGAGTTTTGTACTATCGGGTTAGAGGCTCAGCTGTCCTAGGATTATGACTGTAGTTGAGGCGTAGAACTATTCCCTACCTGCATTACGCTTATTCCCAAATAAACACAGACTATTTAAAAATGTGAGGGAATATTACACACCGCCTCTGTTTCTCATATGGACATGCATTTAAGAACTGTCTAGATTTCAAGAGGCGTTGAGACATTTGCGTAGCACAATAGTGTACTTTCTGATAACATGGTCTACGCCCCACTAGACTATACCCAAAACTATCAAGAAGTGACTCAAATTAAGACAATTTACCTGTATCTACACCAACATATAAATCAGGCTTCAATCTAGTGCAGTTAAACAGGTCGTCAATCCTTCACAACATCTATCATCCGCAGGCTTGACAACAGTATAGAAATCCGCTGTAGTTTTGATACGAGGATGTGGCAGGCGATGAGCTACGCAGCCTCTCCATTGCCAGTATCTAGGCTGATTTGTATCCAACCCTAGATTCTCTTCGGTATATGGATAGAGGTGCATATTATCGGTATGGTACCTGTGGGCGGGCTTTGTGGATCTGTAAGTGGATCGTTCATCGTTGATCGGTTCACGTAACGGATGAGTTAAAACGAGGTCTACGTGAACTGTGCGGTTGCCGATTGCGTAAATGAGAATCTTTCGTCTAAGTTCGAGGGACAGTCTGAAGAATGAAACCGTTTCTGCTAATGTTGTAATTCGTTCTTGCGACGGTGGTGGTGTCAATGTGTACGGTCGCGGATCGGGAAGCCGTGGCATTTCGGGGGTGCGTCGGCGACTGTGCCATTTTGAGTCAATCCATCCTTTAAAACGCCGATGCATGATGAAAGAAAAAGTGCTCGATAAGTTGTTGGGCGCGAAATACAGCGGAATAACAGTGGAGGGGACGAGCTTTTTATATGCGGTTGGCGGTGTTGCACTGTACTACTGAAGCCTAACACTGTGTCGTTAATTGGCTGGTTAGCAAGAAACAGCAGGGTGAGTATCCGCGAGCATGATGAGGACAAATAACAATCTAGCACTCAGTAGAATGGCATTAACGGAAATAAATTGTAAGCATTATCGACAATAAGAATTCTACCTTCATTTCCGGCACTATACTAAGCTCCAGAGCTATTAGCTTACAAGCCATATGTGAATAGACTGCGTATCTACCTGACAACTTCCGGTGAGCACATGTGTCAAACCAACACCATAAGGGTCAGAAAGATCAGTGCGTTGCTTCAGGGAAGTTTTAGAGAAGACTGAGCTTTATATCAAAGCCAGAGACCTGATACTGTTCTTGTCAGTGACTGCGCTGTGCCAGCATTGACATGCGGAGCCGGAAACCAGACGTGTGATCAGTAAACGTGGACTGTTGTGGCTACGTATTACCAGAAACCATCATATTCTACGATCAGATTTCACATCAGATGAAAATGGGTGCCCGCTGCTCGGTCAAAATACTTTCCCAGAACTTAACAATCACAAGGTTGAATCTTCTTAGATGATGTAAATTGGCCAGCGCTAACGAAACCTCCAATAATCAGTTTTCTTTAGGAAGACAGATGGTCCTAAAGAGCCATGAAAGTAACCCCCAAAATGAGCACCGTTATTTCCCAGTACTTACACAAACATAAGAGTCAGGCTTCAGCCCGCTGCATTTACTACCAAGAGCTGGGTTCCAAGCAAGGAGCCTCTCTAGTGAGATGCTATTGGCTCTTCGGATAGACTTGCAGGTATCTTTCTTAGAAGAACCCTTGAGCCCATCCAAACGCCCCAGAAGTTGACCATTGCTCGTCGTCACCGGTTCAACGCACTTGTCAAGAAGATTAACAGGGCAACTGCTGACGCGGTCAACGACATCTCCAAAGATAACGATGTCAAGTATAAGATCGGCTTTGCGGACTGGAACCCTTGGGTCACTGACGCCAGTATTGATGGGCAGATGTGCTCTCCCTCTGCTAATAGAGACTACCCCAGCAAGGACCAGCCTCAGATGCAATTCATCAAACCCCCCACAAACCCTACACCTGGAGAGCGCGAAGATCTCAAAAAGCGAGGAGTCGATGGATTGGATTACTACGATTACAGTCAGGGCGAGCTGAAGAGGAAGCGCGCAGCGGAGAGCATTTGGGGTTCCAAGTTCTTCAACAGCGCTAACCCACCAGAGCTTGTACGCAGAGTTCTTGGTCGTCGTGCCCCTAAACCTCCAGGATGTCCCTCCGACGAATCGAGAGATTGGACAATGGGTCTTGGCCTTCCCAACGACATCGCGGAGAACTTTCATCCGAATGAGAATGGGCATCTCACGATGGCCAGCTTCGCGATGGCTGAGGCGATGGACCTTCGATCATTGGTGCTCGGTATAGATCCCCTTTCATGCGAGGTCAAGGACCAGTTCAAATGCTGGTCGGATGACAACTGGAAGATCTACGACAGCGCTGATCGGCTTGATAAGCACTATGAGGATTTCTGCAAGAACATTGAGCAGCCTGATCATGAGAAGGGATGGGACTACTACAAGGTCTATGACGAAGACACACCTGATGAGCATGAGTTCAGGATCTCGCTTAGCGAGGATGTCGCAGACCGTGACGTGAACCAGTGCATTGACTCCTTCAAGAAGCTGATCCACAACTGCGACACCAATCGCCGGCTGAACTGGAAGACCGGAGGTAAATACGTCCGTGACGATGGAGCCTACACATACGAAGTCAGCCCAACACGCTACATCAGGCCCTGGCCACCACCAGAGTATGCCCAGGGAACTTGCAAAGGATGGTACCACTTTTCCCATAGTTCGTATACAACAGAAGGCGGCGGGTTCTCAACGTGGGACTTTGGTCAGAAAACGATGAGGCCAAGCATGAATGGATGCTATGGGCTTGGAACTTTGAGTACTACGATGAACCGACTGAGGAGGGGTATGAGTGGAAACTTACGTTTAACACGCCTGTTTTTGTGAGATCGAGATGCTTTAAGAATAATAAGGTTGTGAAGGGTGCTGGCGGGTGAACTGATGGTTGTGGAGGAAATGATTGAGTTAGATGACTGAGTACTTAGGTCTCAAGCAATACCTACACTTAGTATAAGCCCTTATGAGAGAATTCAAAGTAATGCACCCTATCTTGTATTTCTTGCTGGAACAGAGCTCCACTACAGTGTACCCTATCTTGTATTCTAACTACGTCAGGTTAAGTTAGTTGTAGTGTCATCACCGTGGGCCCATCGGTCAGATTATTAATCAGAACAACTTGACATAATTTCACCGCTGCTCGATTGTTTGAATATATAACTAGCCAGATATATGTCCGTCTTTCTTTGCTATGGCTCTGCAGTCTTCATTTCTTGCTTAACATACTTCTTCTGTATAGTACGCGAGCTCGGTCAAAACGCAGTCACTATGTCCTCCCTATATCATTACTCTTTCTCTCGCGTCTCCAAGATGGATTCAGTTCAGGAGTCTGCAATTCAATACCGCGAGCTACGTCTCAAAGCACTCAAGGCATCTCCAGAGTCCTTCTCTTCCACCTACGAAATCGAATCTCAATTCACAGAGACACAGTGGATGGGTCGCCTCCTCCAAGATGATAGAGAGAACTTCGTCTGCGTCGCAACCCCAGTCAACCCTGACGCTTCTTCGATGGCACAATGGGTAGGACAGGTGACCTTGAGAGGTCCAGTCGGCAGAGAAGCCTTCACGCTTCCCGAAGTTTCTGGGCAGCCACTGCCAGGCGGGGATGATGAAGATCGTTGGCAGATGCTCAGCTTGTTCATTCTACCGGACCACCAAGGACGAAAATTGGGGCAAGGTCTGTGTCGGGATGTTATTAAACATCTTCAAGAAACTCAACGAAAGGCTAGAACCGTCGTGAGGTTGATGGTCAAGCCCCAAAACACCACTACAGTGCACTTATACGAAAAGCTTGGTTTTGAAACTGTCGGAAAATGCACATTGGCTGAGGCTCTTGTAGCAAACGGAGATGGCCATCTGCTCCCTGAAGATATCACAGACGCCAGGTACTCTACTCGATCAGGCTTGATTATGATCTACACTATCTCAAAGACTGCGTAGAATTGAGATAAGCTTTAATGGAGTGCTAAGTAGATAGGTGACTTGGTACCTAGTTAATGAGACACTCTCCGTACCGTGGAAGTATTCTGCTCCAAAAAAAAACATTAATAGAAAAATATACTTAAAACTGAACACTGCTATATGTGAGGCAAAACATCATCTACAGTTTCGTCTTAGTCTTGGGTGGATGCTCCTCTTCCCACTTGCGTAGAAGGGCCGTTGCCGTTTCAACCTTGCGGGTGAATCCATCATACAACTTGGCCCAACCATCGCTCACAGTCCTGATATCAATTGGTCGACCAGTTTTCGCATCGATGTATGTAATTGATCCCGTAACCTGGGCCACTACTGCTTGCTGCTGTAAAGAAAAAAGGACTGTTGTGCCAATATTATGGTTCGGTGTGAACTTTTCTTCACGATTGGCCACAATGAGCTATTCACAATCAATGAGATCCGATCTCCGACGTCGCGCGTGGTTTGATTTGACTTACCGAGTCTGGATATCGAACTTGTCTCTTCAACAATATCTCGTACTTGTGCACAACGGGGATGACAGTTTTGCCCTTGATCATGTCTTCGTATTCCTGCTTAGATAGGAACTCGTCGTAGCTTTCCATGACGCGCTGCCAGCAAATACCAAAGAAATGCAAATACTGTGAGTGCGCGACATGCCCGAACGGGTCTTGATCTTCTGCCCAGGTCACACCGCGTTCTACCATGGTCTTGGCTTCAAATCCCTGTGCTTCAAGAACTGTCAACGCTTTTGCGCGAAGTTTCGCGTATGGATCATCTTGATCGGGTATTTGGGAAGATTTTGGAGCGCCTGAGCGATGGTAAGGCGAGAAGTACTCGGTTGCCTTGAGAGGCGCAAAAGTCTTGCCTGGTCCCGGCATGGTCGGAAGTCCGTGTTGTGCGTTATTTGCTACGAATAATAAATGGTGAGGGGCAGCCAGCACTTTTATAGAGAAGGGCACTCACTCTTTGGGTGAAATATACGGCTAATTAAAAGTAGTAATCTCCGGGTACTTACTACTTATCATTGCAATGTTATGAACCTAATATTCCAGTCAAGACCACTCGGAATCCCGATCCTTCTATCCGCAAACTTTCGAGCCAAGACGGCTTCAACCAATGATGGATCGCCATTTATATTTTGGTTACATTGGATGCCCGTCCAAGGAGCGGGGAAGCGTCAGGTTTTGCTCCATCCGGTATGTGACATGACGGCCAAGCAGAAATTCATGGTCTCATTCATTAATCTGTCGAAATTGGCCCCCAATGATAAGGTAGCTATAATACCCTGCGGCACGTACAAAGTTGGGGGCCATCCGAAACAACCGCAGTTGGTATCCAGGTGTGACAATTACATGTGATATACCTTTTGTCTCTTGTATTTCGGGCCAAAATGATGACAAAGGCCATTCAAGTCTGTAGTTCAGAAGGTCTCAGAATCAATCTGCCGCCATCATTCCTCATATAAACCAATATATTTCCGACATTCAGGCCTTCCTCCAACCCCCTCGGTTTATGCTAAGGAAGCATAGCATACTCGAGGAGTTCGACAAGGTGAACACCGGGAAGCTCAATAATGGCAATGTCAACCTCGGCTTGACCATGTCCAACCCTCGTCGATATTGGCCGTGATAGATGGTCGGCTTGCTGAAAGGATAAGGTCAGTAGGTCGTGAAAGAGAAACGTGGTGCGGTCGACGGATACAACAGTAAAACCTGTATGAGGCGCGCCTGAAACTCGGATGACTGGTGATATTTCTCTCAAGGTTCGGAGTAGCGAGAGTACTATCACAAACATCTACAAAAGATCCTCAATCTACATTCATGCTAAGTGACGATTCTTTGATCTAAACTTTTTTCTATTCCATTCAGTTCCTCAATCATGCAGCTCAGTCAGAGAATACAGCATCTTAATAGGGCTTGCAATAACTTTTTTTAAAAAGAAAATGTAAAAAAAATATAAAAATAAAAATAAAATAAAAGCTAGCCGTAATGAACTTTTAAAAAATTCATGGTACTATTGGATAATAGTGGTTGTTATTGTGTGTCTAACTAGTGGCTCAAAGCCAACCGACGTCATAGATCCTATTATTCCAGCTCCAGATCCATTCGCTAGCAGCCAACCCATCACATTTCAAGCTCAACATCAATATTACTACCCCAGAGCTTTATTTGAATGGCGTCAGCCATCACAATCAATACTCTCCGTCACTAATACCCATGCCTCACAGACCAGAAATGGCTGCATCACGATCAAAAGCCAAGCCCTTGATGGACACAATATCCGAAGCCCATCGAATGTCCTACCGCATCGGCCGCGGCGAACAAGGCGTCCTCACCTTTGAACCCTACAAATCCGCCATTCTTCCCCTCTGGCGCTTCCGCACAGTCCCCATCGCGCGAAAAAGCGCTGAGGACTTATGGACCAAGTTTAACGAGTTCAAAGACCAGCGCGATTTTGTGGGGATGGACATGACGCGTAAATTCATCCAGATGGGAATGACGCGTGCAAAACGATATGCGAATCATGCTGGGGGCCGGAAGTACAAGAAAGGTACAAGGGAGGAATTACCAAAGAGTGATGAGCATCCCGATAAGGAAGAGAAGCTGAGGGCGAGCTTGATCTTTAAGGGGTATTGGGAGAAGTGCAAGGAGGATGAGGAGTATCAGAATCTCAAGGAAGAGTTTTTGACGAAGCAGAAGGATTGGAAGGATTCCTGAGGAATCTTCAGTAGTTTGACTATTTCTAGTTAACCGTCCGGAAACCGTCCGTCAGTATTTAGCGCACTCTCTAATCTTCATTGTCTCTATTAAGGTCCTCAATAATTATGCCCTTCGTCTGACCCAGCCATTCAATCGCAACACCATCACGAAGAGGGGCATTCAGAGCTTGCGCGATAGCACCACTTAGTGCATCACCCTCATTCATATCCCATTGCAACGGCCACTCCCCTCCTCTATCTGCATGCCTCTCCCAGTTTGGCTGCTGAAGCTTTGCCTTCTGGGCCGCAGCCTCAAGTCTCTCGGGGAGCTTGTTGCCCGGAAAGCCGTTGGCGAACCATATGATCTGCCGTTCAAGAAGCTTTGCAGGTCCAATTTTGACGGAGAATCTTGAGTTCCGGTGTCTGGAGGCCGCGCTTCTTGGCTTGGCCTTGGCTGGGGTTGTAGCCTGTTCTGGTATGTTTGATGGCATCTCTTGGTGGTACTTTTTAGCAGGATTAGTCTGGTTGGTTGAGATTTGTTTGATGGTATTGGTATCAGCGTTATGGATTTCGTGTTTGCATTTATTTAAAGAAGACACAGTCATTGGAGGGTCAGGTGCGTTAGAAATATGCCTCTGTGACTATAAATCAACTGTTTTTCTTGAAGCCTTGTTCTGGTGGTTGTTCTTTGTCGCTGTTCACAAGCTTTACTTCTGTTCTACGTGTCTCGGGGCATTTCCATGCTTGTTCATCCCTACATGGCTATCAATTTGCTTCATCTTCCTAATGTCAATAGTTCGGCCTTTGATCACAATTTGATGGCATTATCTGGATCTCGTGGTCCTGTCTGAGCAGGTCGCCTCTCCTCATAACTGACATAGCTACTAGGTAGTCATACCACACCCTGAAGTGAGGTTACATCGTGCTTACAATGTCCTACTTACATAATTCTATTAATAATAATATTATCTCGGGTCTGAATTGCAACAGTTTTCGCGTCGCCAAAAGCCCATTGTCTCTAGGTTAAGAGGGTTGACTGCCGATAAGCTTATCCGGATTTGGCATGCTTTGCGGGGAAGCCCTAAAAATAACCCGTACAAAGTTATGCAGCTCCATTACAGCCAATCAAGACGCGTATCTCAACCACGACAACCTTATGCTCATTCCAGCCAGCGCATAAATAACTCACAACAAGCCTAACAAATTCCAGTCCGCCCGATCATCCAGAGCGAGTCCCGACAAGGCATGCATCGCCGACAATCCGTGATCAACTCCCTGTAAAATCACGGCACATTTCATGCTAAGTTTTCAGCTCTGCCAGAATTGCGGGGATGATCGCTGCTCTCAATCAGCCTTATGCCCTCCGATGGAACCTGGCTTGACTCTATCGGGATTAAAGTGAGCATAGTGAGACAGTCAATCAGCGATTAACTGCCTTTGCGAGTTAGCTAGGGCCATAAGTGGGCTTGCAGCTAGGCAGTAAAGACTAAGACGGTGAAATTTTGGACCGTTGATTGATGGCGGTGTGCTGCATTATAAGAGGCAGATGTCGCTCCAGCTAAAGGTGCTACTCATCATTCTGCAGAGTCAGATTAAGCTTAATTCCAATTCATCATGAAGTTCAGCACCATCCTCCTCGTTCTTGCCCCTCTTGTCTCCGCAGCTGCTTCGAAAGAGGCCGCTGCTGGCCTCCCCGACCTTGCCTCGGCCAGTGAGAAGGGCCACGATCTCTCATCTCATGGTGAGGGACTTCAGCTAGCTGCCAAGGTCTGCCCAGCCAAGTTCCCCCGAAAGTGCTCCCTCGGAAACTTCTGCTGCCGAACCCTGAAGTGCTGTAAGAAGGAATGCTGCCAGAATTCGGCGAGATACTGCAGCAATGGCCGTTGCTACAAATAGATAGCGAGAAAATCAGACATAAAGTAAGTTCAAGACAAGCTTTTAGTAAGAACAGGGACTAACCAAATTGTAGCATGGATGATACAACAAGGGTTGGATTTGAATAGGTTCAAAGGTTGGAAAGAATGCCCTACACACTGGGATTCAGCATATTGGAAATGAACTTGGACATGATCGAGGTAGCATAAGAATGAATGAATGAGCTTTTATTTCAAAAGTCGCGATGCATCATAACCCATCTCGTACCCTTCTCCTCGACCCTATACATCCACCTAAGTCAAAACCACATCTGGCTGAGGATCATTTGGCCTGTCCCAAGGAAACCCATTCCTAAACAGAAGCTCTTCCTTCGACTTCTCCGTAGACATGACCACCACGCACGAGTATTCGCTGACATTCATACTGATAATCCGATAAAGGCCTCGCGCTATGTGCTTCGTCACCTGGGTTACCGCATGGTGAACATGTTCGTTAGTGCCTGTTCGAAGGATGGTGAAGTTGGAGTCGCCGTTGATGTTGATAAAGGTTACATCCACTCTGTTGATAATTGTGCCGAATTCTGGTGCTGGCGGTGGCCATGAACTGGGGTTGGTGGAAGGGTCAACGGTATAATAGACTGCGGCGGGTTGATGAGCCATAATGCGTGATTGTAAAGTGTAATGATTGTTGCGGCTCTTTTGGTAGAAAACATTCGAGTTTAAGTTTTTAAAAAGTTCGACTGTGAGATTTAGCATGTATTTATACATCATTGCACTATAGCGATTATTATCCTAGTCTTTTACCTTATCTCGCTGTTGATACCCTCTGTTGGTCGTTGTTCCGTCTCATCAAAAGTTCCACTACGCCTCTTGCATTCCCTGCTCATTTAGAAGCCCTCATGATATCCCATGTAGTGCAACTAACACCGCAAGGTGCACACTCTTAGGCAGCCGAACACTACAAGTAGCCTTCCGAGAGCTGATTGAAAAAACATCTGATAGAATGGAATACTTCCGGCTCTTGATAGCGAAGCTCCTGCATCCTTAGTCAGTGTAAGTTGTAGCGAGCTGAAACGAAAGATCCAGGTTGATGATCCTTATCTTATCCTTATCTTATCGCGTCGCCATTTGTCCATGTCGCAACTTTCAGCCAGCCACGGTCACGCACAGCCTGTCGATCACTAACATGATTGGACGCACTTGAAGCGTGTCCGCTAATAATTGGCGATTTGCCAAGTACTGCCCCCGCCTGAAAGGTTGCTTATTTCCGATTAAATACAGGGTAGTCGCTGGCATTTCTGAGAGAAACATTCTTGGCGTTGTTTCGTTTCAATCCAAGACTCTTTGTTGAAACAATGTCTGAGAGCACGATTTCCAAAAGTACGGAACAGCCTGAAAGTGATGTTCCGTCGTGGTCGTCGAGGTTGTATCGACAAGTTGGTTTCTCGGCGAAAAAGACGTGGCAGGATAGAGGTGACATCATTCGTCACTCGAAAGAGCTCTTCACTGTAGGTTCACGAGTCTGGTAGGCGATGTCAGTCTCATCAGGTCTAGGGTGCTGGTCCAAATGGGCTTCCATATTCTCCACTGCCAACAGCCTCAAGTATACGACTTCTAGAGGTCAAAGCAGGCAACCCAAGCGACATGCTGCAATGCTCTCTCCATACAGTTGACTTAGCAGACAGCCCGAAATACCATGCGCTCTCATACACATGGGAGTTGGACCCACCAAGCTTCCCTTACGAACTGAGATATCTGTCTCAAAAAGTCCCTAGCTTCTCAAAAGTTGTTTCCAGTGGTGTCGATACGGTGAATCACACTCTTAATCGTCTCATGGTTCGGTCCCGCTTTGAACCATCAGATCCAGATGCAAAGCCAGTCGAGAATACGACCGACCGAGACAAGATCCTCTGCGACGGCAAAGGCGTTTACGTCAAGTCTAATCTATACCAAGCTCTCCTCCAGCTCAGAAAAACGCGTCCAGGTCTGTACTGGATTGACGCAATCTGCATCAACCAGTCTAACCTTACTGAGCTGGGCCAACAAGTCCAAATGATGAATCGCATCTACAGTTCAGCGTCCCAAGTCACGATTTGGCTGGGTACTTGTCCCCACGTTTTCGCGCCCGGCGTAGCGAACCTCATTGAGATGACCAAATCCGGCCTTCCCGAGATCACCGAGGCTGCTGAATCCAAAGACTTTTACTACACCAGAGTCGGAACAACATCACTCTGGCATTTAGTGCTTTGCGTCTTCTTCTTCGTCACGCGTAAATGGTTCAAAAGACTTTGGGTTCTGCAAGAATTATGCCTCGCCAAAGAAGCCATCTTCCTCTTAGGAGATTACAAGTTCGAGGCTGATGACATCTCCGTTGCTTTTGGTTGGATGAAAAGTATTCTGGGCGCTTGGAATACCAGTGGGTTACACATGTTTGCACAGATATTGACGTGGGTTGGCGACATGCCTGACCAGGCTGTCGGGTTGCTCAATTCGCGCCGCACGATTTCTGAGGGTGACAAAGTTGGTCTACAGGAATGGTTCAGGCTCGTCAAAAACCGCGAGGCAAGAGATCCGAGGGATATGGTGTACGGCGGACTCGCTTTGATCAAGCCAGAGACGCTATTGATGGACCCACGCTTAAAGCGAGGCTCCGGTAGCTCATCGTTAGATCACGATCAAATTGCATCAGACGGTAGACTACAATGGCTATCACTACATGCGGACTACGCCATTGAATTTCCTTCAGTTCTGGAGAAGGTGGCGCTGTGTATTTTGTCGGGTCCTGAGCCGATGAACCTCCTCTCGCTAGCAACGCGATACCGCAGTCCATTCTTCTACGACATGACGAGAGACACATGCATCCACTACTCAGCTATGAAATACGACAAACTGTCAGAGCTTGAACTCGATGTACCATCATGGTACGCGGTGCCATGGCTTGAGAACTCGCGGGGTATGAAGCCTCTCATCTGGCAAAACAGGACACCGCTCGAAAGCATCTCCAAGATGATCAATAGTCCATCCGTATCGGCTGACGGTAAATCGCTGTTTCTCGAAGCAGCAAAATTAGATATCATCGAGTCCTGTGTCTTGTATAATTTTTTCGGGGATCTGGCGCACGATATGGAGTCCATGATCACGCTGAGCTCCAAGGAGAATGAGCACGCACAGGAAGCTGCGGCGTTGAAGGATTCTTTCAACTACGCTCCGCCATTTCATCTGCTAGAAGTGATACTCAACATGACTGCATATATGAGGCCGACAAAATTGTCGCCTCTTGAGGTCTTCTGTGACCTTCTCACAGCTGGAACATGGAGAGGCGGGCCCAGCAGCAAGATGACCGGGTTCTGCCAATGGCTTGACGACTGGGTAAATAATTACATCAAAGAACATGATAAAGAAAAGGCAAAAATCACCGATGAAACTCTCATCTTGAAAGAATTCATCGCCAAAAGAGAACCCATCATGGCAAAGATTCAAGACGACTACACCAAACTACGCGCCGCATATCCCAATGAACCGTGGTCACCCGAGGATCGCAAAGCCATCCCGGAAGAACGCAAGACCCAGGCCTCTCACTTCGCAAGAACCCTGCAAAGAGCACAGACGGTCCGAGCTCTGTTTAAGACACAAAGCGGCAGACTCACCCTTGCACCGGCCTGGGCTGAAAAGGGCGATGTTGTGATGGTGGTGAAAGGCGGCAGGGTTCCTTACGTCTTTACACCAAGAGATGAGGACATTAAGCGCAAGATTGCGTTTAAAGAGAAGTATAACGGTGAGATTTCGATGGAGGCGTTGAAGGTGCGGCCGGGACATCAGGAGGCGCAGAAATGGGATGCGGCAAGTCTGCGGGGTGACATTGGAGGTAATGAGAGTTATTTACTCACTGGTGAAGCTTATTTGCATGACTCGGATTTGGAAGAGATTCTGGGGACGGAATTGGAGTTTGGCAGATTACAAATCGTCTAATGAGATCATGCGTTGATGGAGAGTTTGGCTGTCATTTTCAGTTGCACACCTGGACCTTGACAAACTTCTGTCAACTTCTGTCATCTTCCGAGCTTGGATGTGCATGTTGCCCAAGTTGAGATTGATAGATCAGCTTCAGCCTGCACAGACTTTGTTTGTGGCTTACCAACTCTCCGGATCTCAGCGGAGCGGCAAACAACGGCGGTTATTTAAGGACCGTGAATGATGAAATGAAGGCAACCACGGCGTAGGGTAATATCAGAATTACTCCGCCAAAAAAGCCACAGGAGCTGTTTAGACGCTTGAGGCTTGGAACTATTTCCAATAATTGTTTTGCCTTTTCGATATGCTTAAACAGCAGATGTAAGCCCAGCGGTTAAGCGATGTCCATCGACCACTGCGAGGTTGAGCTCATGTCACTCCAAATATTCTTACGTGATGCGATCAACAAAAAAGGAAGGAAATTCATGGTTCCGGTTCTAGATCCCCAGAAACTGGGCAAACTCAACCCCTGGAAGCCCTACTCGGGAACAGTCTCAGCGACGCTAGTACCTGAATTTAGCGCTGACTCTCGATATTACTCCGTAACCTCAACAAACACAGACGCCTCAACGGCACCGGCGACAAACCGAGTACGGAACCTCCAATCAACCACCCCTGAATTGCATCTCGTATTCCCCAGATGAGATCGCAAAAAAAGCTTAGCTCAGTTGAGTGCACATCGCCAAGCCAATCGATCAGCAGCAATCTCCACGACGGTAAATCAGTGGGTATCAGCCGACCTGGCCTAACCTCAGGGGTAAGGCGTTCTAGACACCGCTAGCCCGCACGGCTAAACCACCGCAGCCAATGGCCGTCGGCGACAAATTTCCCTACCGCAAGCCACTGCCATAACATACAGCTTATGCCCTGGATTAGTTCCCAATAGTGCCTGTAACCGCGCGCTGCCGAGATGCACCTCGGACTTCTCCAATCACCGTAACCTTCGAAGTTCACCAGCCCCTGAGCACGTCAATTGCTTCTCAGCTGGCGTAGTGGATGATGTGAATTTGCCCTACCGATGAGTTTGCTGCTGGTACCTTCCGCTGTGAGCCGTGAACCGAGATTAGTGTGTTGTTCACAGGGCTGCTAGACGAGCATGTCACTACTGCATCTAAAAGTAGATTCATCGTGGGGATACCTCCGTAGACAAACACATAAAAGAGCTGGATATCCTCCTCTCAAACTGGCTTTCCTTTCTGCTCTTCAGTCACTCACTCACATCCACTCTTTACTCGCAACTTCTCTACGCTCTTTAACAAAGACAACAGTCCTTCCTTAATTCCTTTTCTTCTTCGAAAACTAAACCGCCAACATGAAGTTCTCTGCTGTCACCCTTCTCACCCTTGCCACTGGCATCCTCGCCGCTCCCGTCGCCGAGGCCAACTACGACGTTTCGTACTCCAGCTACGAGGCTCCCAAGGCCCCCAAGCCTCACTATGAGAAGCCCAAGCCCAAGCCTCATCACGAGAAGCCCAAGCACGAGTATCCTGCTCCCAAGCCTCACCATGAGAAGCCTAAGCCCAAGCCTCACCCCAAGAAGCCTGAGTACCCTGCTCCTCACCACGAGAAGCCCAAGCCCAAGCCTCACCCCAAGCCTCACTATGAGAAGCCCAAGACTCCCAAGTACCAGGCTCCCAAGCCCCACCACGAGAAGCCTAAGCCTAAGCCTCACCCCAAGCCTACTTATGAGGCTCCCAAGCCTGTGAAGCCCAAGTACACCAAGCCCAAGGCCCCCAAGCCTCATAAGCCTGAGTACACTAAGCCCAAGGCTCCCAAGCCTCACCCCAAGCCCGCCTACGAGGCCCCCAAGCCTGCTCCTAAGCCTCACAAGCCCGAATACACCAAGCCCAAGGCTCCCAAGCCCCACAAGCCTGAGTACACTGCTCCTAAGCCTCACCACGAGAAGCCCAAGCCCGCTCCCAAGCCTACCTACAAGGCCCCCAAGCCCGCTCCTAAGCCTCACAAGCCTGAGTACACCAAGCCCAAGACTGAGAAGCCCAAGCCTGCTCCTAAGCCCGAGTACAAGGCTCCCACCTACCAGGCTCCTCACTACTAGATTCGCTCTGAGAGGATGAAGGACAGAAGCTGTTTGTGCTGTGGTTATTGAGTGGGTGACTCGTGCTGATTCACGATCATGGTATACGGCCTATGTGGAAACGCATAGCGAGAGGATGGCGCTGGACTTCTGACTTATGAGAGATTCTGGAGGAATGGCAGACATGTGTTTGGATGGATGGACTTTTGAGATATTCTTCTTGTACTTTATTGGCATATTAGTTATTAATAACTGCATCCGAATGAACTGCGTTGCTTATATCTACCTTAAGACTCTCCGAAACACATGTCTCAAGTGATAATGCTACCTTAATTGACAGTCTTCCAGTATGGTCCGTCTCATAAGGGATTCCCGAGATGACTTGTGTTACTTTTGCTATGACCTTCTAATATACCTTACAACCCTTAGGCTACTGATACGTTTCTACATCACAATATCCTGCCTAATGCCAGAGCTGCGGCATACCATCAGGTTGAGGCCGTCAAAAGCAATACTCCCATAAGCGACGCTCAATTGCCAGATCAAGCTTAAAATCACCAAAGATCTCAAAGACTTCATCGACCACTGCCAGCCACCTCTTGTTGAGCTTGGTAACATAATACGCTTTGGTATACTCCCAATAATCGGGAAACCATCCAGAGTTTTCCCAGTCCACGATACCTGAGATCCGACCGTTGTGCATTAAGATGTTCCTCATGTTGATGTCGGAATGAGTGAACACAATGTCATGGCCCGTGGAATGAAACACATCTGGCAGCGCGGGTGTTCGCAGTATATTATTGAACTCTTCTTCGTCGATGAATGGTCCAAAGAAGTCGCCACGCTCCTTGTCGTAGTCATGACATGCCACAATTCGATAGTCATAACAAGGCCCACCGACGGCATTGCTAATAGCATGCTTCTGCCCTCCCTGCCTTGAGATCGAACGCAGCTGTGCCATGTATTTCTGCATATCGCGCTTGAAAATGTCGAGATCATCATCGCTGAGGACATCGATGTACGAACCCAAGCGCTGTCCTGTTATTGTAGTTGTCAGCAGATAAGATGTGTCAGCGTCAGACACCAGGTCCAACGGACGAGGAACAGGGACCTGGGTCTGGTCTCTCACAAGCTTCAGAGCTCCAAACTCATTCGCTAGTGCTTGGTAATCATCACAATGCGTCGTCTTTAGGTACATGCCAAAAGGAAGTTGTTGGACCTTGAGGCTAGAGGATGGTCCATAGGTTCGAACACCCGAGGACTTCAAAGATTGGTAGATCCCTATGCGAAGACGACCCGGCATTAGACGGCAAATTGATGCAACCGCAAGAGCAAAGTACTCCAAGATATTAGGCCAAGGTGAGGCGAACGGCGTGTTTGTCGCTGCTTGTCGCGGTCGATTGGCAATTTCTCGACCAACTAGACTCCACCGTATGGACTTCGAGAATCTCGACGTAGCTAGGAGCAGAATGATTTCTGGAGTCTCAATTCCAGAGTTTGAATGATCTGTAAAACGACCTCTTCGAACAGTCGGGATCCTGTCAACAATCGAAGGTCGGTTGGGCCCTCCAATTGTGACTTGTGATACACGATACTGCGAAATTGTGAGAAAGGCGCAGACAGGAAGACAAAGTCTCTACGGAAACTTACGTCAGAGCCTCTTGTGGATGTGAAGCGAAAGTAGCCTTGTGCTAGAGCTTCCGCGGCGGATCGACGTACAAGCCAGTGATTCTGGACACCATTAAGGCGACCATCATTGCCTTGGACCCGTTCCTGTATAGCAGAGCCAGTGAAGAGACAAAAAAGCTCTTGCAGATACTTCAGTTTCTGGTTAGCTCAAAGTCGTTTGATAGAAGACAACACCGCCGGGATTACCTCTCTAGAGAACCGAAATACGGGGAAGATGGATGTGACAATTAGAGGATCAATCAAGGATGATTTGAGTCCTGTAATACAACATGTGTGGTTATCTCTCTTTATCACACTAGCTATGACGGCTTCTTTAGACTTGTTTTGCTGTGAGAACTGTTCAACGACTGCTGTAGTAAGCATTGTTTATTCAGAGGATGGGGCCGAAGGTGCCTACCACTTCTAACCAGCTCCTTCCACTCCGATAATAGTGGAACTAAATCGTAGTCTTTTTGTCCGTCGGTGCATCTTTGGAGCATGTATTGGGCAGTTGCTTCGGGGTCAACTGAGTCGGTGAGGAAGCATTCCAAGAGCTGGTCGTCAGGATGTTGGAGGCGGGAGTTGCGGATTGCGGCGAGAGCCTGTTCAAGCCTGCTCTGACTCTCTGACATGATTAAGGACCTCATTTGATAATTAGGGGAGGATGCTGAGATCGTGAAGCTAAGCGGCAGTGTTGGTAGATGTTGCGCACCTAATGGCCATTACATAATACTGCTGCCTAGAGAAGCATAACAGTCTCATGATACCTACCAAAGTCTTTCTACTCACCAACTCCAAGTCATCTCATACCTAATCATATCATTACGAAGTGGCAACAGATCAGAGCTCTTAATTCCGTTGCCCAACGCGGTCTGGAAGGGAGTCATGACACTCAACGGAATTCTAGAGAGCTCTTCGATATATCTCGCAATGAAGAGCCGACCTTCTCCAAGAGAATATGTACGTCAAGTCTCTTCTTTTCGATACTTTTTACTGTTCAAGTTGACGCCAGTAGCACTGGGGACTAATTACCACCGATGACATTGGAGGGCCTGTTCTTCATCACGCGACGAACCTTGCGGGACCATGGAAATACGAGGAGAGACGGGGCCAATCAGCTATCGACCAAACTCTGATAGTACTGGTCAAAGCGAGCCGCGTCTCCTATGTACTGCGCGCCACGCAGATCATCCAGTCTGTTCCTGCAGATGGAAAGCCGTCATGTCGAACAGGAGCGGATTTCACGTGCCGAATC